ATTAAAAAAAAAAAAAGCAGCTATATGTTGCGTGTCTCTGTGTGCACAAAACTTCAAGTGGAGATGTGTGCATAATGTGGCTGCTTTGTGTGCGCACGCCATAATTGTCAGCCTTCATATAGGAATCCCCCCCACCCACCCCCCAACCCCCTCCATGTGCTTCCCAAACCCTTCATTAACTAAACATGACCCTTAAGAGCATGATTAGCCTCATTTCAAGACAGGATGTCGGAAGCCATCATCCGAGGGGGAAAAAATCCATTACTATAATTGCATTGAGCTGAGGGAGGGAGGAGAGAAGGAGGGAAGAAAGGAAGGATACATAGATGGATAAAAAAGGAAGAAAATGATTGGAACTAAGGGAGGGGGGGAGGCAGAGGGCTGTCAGAGTCGCAAGGATGAAGTGAAGGAAGGAAAGTGAGGGAGAGAGAGAGGATGGAGAATGACGGCTGGGAGTGGGGGGGGTGGCGGCTGATGGTATGAACGGGCATTCTATATGAATCTATACTACCATCTCATGGATTCCCCCCGTGTCTGAACTCTCAGTTGGTACAGCCCTCCGACAATAAAACCACCTCCAGTTAGTCTTGATGTGGCACTTTCACTCGGTTCTCCGGCTCGCATGCAAGTGTCTCTGCCGCTGTCAGAGGAGGGGAGGCTGCAAGCCGACGGCCATGCCGGCTCCACAGGGCACGGGGAACACGCCCCGGCATGGCGGCCTCCGCCACTGCCCCCGGCCTGCCATAGAGACACAGCTGGACGGAGAGGTGGAGAGGCGGTGCAGGTCTCCAGCACTGTCAAAGCCCAGATTCTCGGGCGCTGACAGGGAGATTTTGAAAAAAAAAAAAAAGAAAGAAAGAAAAAAAAAATGTATTTTTGAATGACTTTTTTTCACCTCTCATCTGTCTGTCGGTCTGCCACGCAGACCCGAAGGCTCTGAGCATGAGTGAGTATAGCCCACACACACACACACTCACTCACATGTCTGTGACACTTTTTTTGTCACCTGTCTGTCTGACTTCATGTGATCCTATGATGCAGCATCATGTGTGGACGTCCATTATTTGTGCCAGCCGGGCGTCACATGATTTTAACGCTGTTACTGCCGCATGAATTTGAACACGAAGATTCGATAAGTCGTGATAAATTTCTGTGTGGAATTTTTGCTACGCAGGAAGTGAAAGATCGAAGGGTGGGGTTTGGCTTACACATATACGCTCACCAGGGCAGTGGTCAGCTTACTGTGTCATGTCAGATACCTCCTACTTTTGCATTCACAATGACTTGCAAAGCTAGCTGGGCTCCTTCCCTTCACATTTTAAGTGCTTTTTGGCTTTTTCCTCAAACAACTTGAAGACTCGAGAGCAGGTGCCGAAAAAACAAAAAAAAGAAAGGTCTTATAGCCCTGAAAATATGATAAAATAGCTTTTATCGCACAGGCGTAGGCGTTGTGTGTATGTCTATGTGTGTGTGTATGTGTATAATGATGAATGGAACGAGGGCTGGTGTGCAAAATCAGAAAAGAAATGTACGTATACATTTTCACACAGATATTCGAATAGAATTACTTCTTTTATTGACCAGATTTAACTTGAAGTTATATATATATATATATATACGCATCTATTATCATTGTAGTTTTTCTTTTTTCTTTTTTCTGTCTTAATATCTAGTGCTGATGTCTGCGAACTGGAGTCTTTAACAATGTGGTATTTCCATAATCATCAGGCGTTCATTTCTGTGGCTGTTCCTGCTTCTGCAGAAGCTTCTGGGCTGTCTGGCCAGCAGGCTGTGGGTTTTCACAGTGGGTTGCAGAACGCTCAGGATACACAATACAGGGGTGGGGCAACTAAAACGTACATCCTTACCAGTCGCCTGGTCCTGGATTGATCCCAGAGCGTGACGAGCGCCAGCCTCTCCCCAGATATTTGGGATGAATGCCTCGGTTTGCTGAACGTGACCTTTGAGAACGCATGGAGGCATTGAAACACTGTGTTCGGTTTGTGGGAAATGCTGGTACAGTTTCTTAGTCTGAAAAATACGCCAAGTCTGTCAGCTTTTGAGGTTGTCAAAAAAACCACGTAGCAACGGTGGTCCCAGGGACGGAGGCGTAGTTCCCACCGACGACAAGACTAGAAATTGTGTTAGAAATGAATAAAACTGGGCAGTTTCATCAATCAAACACAATTATTTTGCTAGAATGTGATTATTTTTTTCCATTTCTTGTACAAAAAAATGAGGTTATTCGTAATCAATTAAAATAAAAGGCAAAACTAGCGTGCCAAAAAGACGTTTTCTTTTTAACTGAGAGGTATTAGTAAATGGGAGTTTTGGCCACCCCCGTCTGCCAAGTTGTCAGTATATATTTGGCACTAAAAATGGTGTATAGGCAGAGTCGTTGGCAGTGCAAATGCAGCTGCCACTGGGCAACAAAATGACAGCTCCCCAGCTTTTCTTTGAAGCAAAAATGCTGAGGCAACTTCCCTCAGGTCTATATGGGTTTTAAACCGAGCTGCTCCTCCCCACCTCCTGCCTTTTTCTGGAAAAGATGTCGGCCTCATCTCCCTTTCTCCAATTTGCTGGAACGGTGAGAGCCTCTGCCATGACTAATACGGTCTCCTGATTGTAGATATGCAACATTAACCCATTCTTCTCCCTCTCTTCTCTTTTCTTCCTTTTCATTTTTCCAGTGCAGCTCTCCAGTGAGAGTTGACCTGAGCTACTCTTTGGTTTGAGTGGTTAAATATAGACCTATTCTCTGCCTCTCCTGAGAACAAGGGAGAGAAAGGATGAAAGACGGAGGGTGGGGAGGGCAGAACAGATGAAGGTACACTAAGGGTAATAGGGGTAGATTTAGATCATTTACCAGGAAAAGGATGCTTTCATTTTCATGCCACCCTCTAAAGACGTGTGGCTGCTCTTTCCTCCCTTTTCTTGCGCAAAGCACCAGGTTAACTCCAGCCAATAAGCTGCTTTCCTCAGTGACCAAACACGAGGACTCACAAAACCAGATTTGCCACCTGTGATTATTATTATTTTTCGTGTGTGTATGAACTCAGTGGGAGCGGCTGATGTCGATGTGGACCCAGGTCTGTGCGCGCTCTGACTTCCTCCCTTCTCAGTTGTCTGGCCGTCACCTGCTGAGGTTCCCTCGATGCCGCAGTAGAGAGACAGCGTTTGACTGGAGAACTTGAGCTTGAAATAAAGAGACGAAAGCCGCTGACACTCCACCATATTTGCCTCATACATTCAAACCCTGTTCGGCAGTCTGCCGCTGTCGTGGTGGTGTGAGATGCACTGAACACAACAGATGGCCTTCTCATGAAAATACCAGATCACATTTGCATGAATGAACACAATCGATCATTTATTGCAGTCATTTTCAGTCTGAATGTCAAAATTCCACATTGAGTCAGATCATATGTTGTTTTTACACTCTTTTTTTAGACCGTGTGTGAAAAGCAGCATTTCCTAAAGCTGTGTTCCCTTTTAGTCTGCGCTCGGCGTCACATTCAGCTCTTTGTGGTTTTAATTTGTTCTTCCGTCGGCTCGGAAAGGATGAGAGGAACTCTGACAGACAGGTGAGGTCTGAGAGACCGAGACAGAAAGCCGAGGCAGAAATGAGACTGAAGTAGGCGCAGCAACATGGATGCTCAAAGGAGGAGAAATAAAAGGAGGCGAGGCGGCCAAGTGCACCCACATCTCTGCCGAGCAGCAGAGTCTCAGGCTGGCTCACATAAAGGCCCCGTCTGTAACCAGGTGCCTCTTTTCCACACTGAAACGATCCCACATGTTTCAGATGAAAAGATAAATGTCAAAACTTAAATTGATATGCCTTTACCTGACATGTGGGGCAAACTTTGTCCACCCTAAATGGCCGGTGATTACAGAAGATGCTGTGTACATTTAAGAGCCGAAGGACTGTTATACAGCACATGAATGCAGATTGAAAAGCAGCATTTCTGGACTGTGGTGTTGACCTCAAAGTCAGCAAACTATCTAATATTCTACTTTAGGCTAAACGTTTTAAACAAAATGGGGCAAAGTGTTTGCTGTCATTTTTTTCTAACTATTTCTTTTTTTGCCTGTTTGAGCATTTTCAAAAGATGGGAAGTGTGTCCTTATTTACAAGATTAGATTTTTTGATCAATTAGTTATACAGTGGCAATAATGTGACAGCTTGATTTTCACTGATTGATATTCACTGTGAGAATTTTGTGGTTTTCTCCATTTTACAGTGTGAACTTACTGTTAATAGAGCAAAATTATCTGTTTTAAGAATCAGTACATTATCACATTTATTAGATTCATGACATGACTTTAAACAATTTTTTTTTTTTTATCAATTAAACTGTCCTCTAACAACCACAAATGTATTTTTTTTAACCTTATGACTTGAACTGAAAAATGTATTTTTTTTAAAGGTGTTTTCATTAAAATATTAGTTTGGTAGCTTGATTTTTGTTTTTTACTGATGTTTAAAATATGTTTTAGCTCATGTGTTTTAGCTCCCATTCTTTTTCTCTGCCCAAAAATGAAGTCAGAAGTCCGTCTTAATTTTTGTAACATTCTCACCCGTATGCTTTCCGTTATGCTTTTATCTGCTGTGCTTTCACTGGATGGCTCATATTGTCCGTAAAAGTAGTTTTTTAAAAATCAGTTTTTTCTAAGGATTATTACTGTCTTAGATGAGGGTGCGCATTTTTTTCAGCAGCAGCCATCTTGAGTGGAAACCAAAATGGAGGCCATGCGATTGCTGTTTCATTGCCTGCAAACAAAGCGTGCGTGCCTCTGTGTGCACTCCACGTCCATATCAGAGAGCAACTGCTAAACATGGCTGACGAGGGAAATAAGAATACAAGATAGGAAATTGAGAGGCAGCGACTGGCTCTACAGGGGCAAACGATTGTGCACCAAACTAGTCAAGATAAAATATCTGATTTCCATCTTTGTCTTTTCTCCCGCCTTGTTGGGCTAACTCTGCCTCTGCCTCCTTCTCACAGGGCTTCTTGAAGAACGAGAGGGACAACGCCCTCCTGTCAGCCATCGAGGAGTCTCGCCGCAGGGTCAGTATTTGCCCGGCCTATTTATTGACCAAAAAAAAAAAAAAAAAAAAAAAAAAAAGGAACTTAATTTGATTCCTGCTGTGCAGGAAACCGGTTTAGGAGACCATCTAGAATCAGCAAGGCCTGAAAACTAATTCCATACAATCTGTACCGATGAAAGGGATAAGCTAAAGAACCAAGGTCAAGATTAGTCAAAGTTTTTAGCACTTTCTTATTTTAACAAATTTCTGGCTTTCCAGCACAGTTTATGAAGATTAGCACTTCACTGTAGTGAACACTTAACCAAATTCTTAAGAGTTTACGCTTGCTGTGATCTGAAAGTCCTTCTGGTTTGAGCCTTTTGGGAGCAGTTTTGAAATGGCCTCCCTGATGTGTAGAGTTAATAGGCCCTGGGTTTAATTAGCTGCCAGTCCCATTATCTCTCCGCTCCCCGAGAGAGGGAAAAAAAAAAGCTGCCTGTGCAGGGGTGGAAAAACAAATGGACTCAGGATTAAAAAGAAAGCAGATGTTCGATGTTCTCACAGATTTCTATCTGACTGCCTTTGCCGGCACATCACAGGAAATGTTCATCATAATTGAGTCTTTGGAGTATGCGTGCAGTCATTCTTCCCTGTGGTTGAAAAACAGTCATCTGCTCACGAGAATATAACAAAAATGAGAAATAATGGTGTTTCCTGAGCTTTGATTAATCTCTGGTCGTGTTTTGACTTTAAAGCTCATAAAAGTTTAAAGCGTTGATTCTTTTGGCAAGTTAACACATTAAACGGTGGCTCCAGTTTAGATTCATGTCTCCCAGAGCTGGAGATTCAATTATCTCGCGTTCCCATTATCTCACTTTAAATTCTCTGTGGAAGGTTAAAATAGACTGTGCTGTGTCCTAGTGGAGTACAGCAATCTTCACGGGGGTCTGCTGCTAAATCCGGTGTGTGTGTCTGTGTGTGTGTCTAAGATGGTTTAGTGTTACATTGTGTACGTGCATGTAATTTGACCTTGACATTGGCATATAAATTGGGAGTTATTTTGCACAAACTTCTCATAAAAATCTTTTCCCTTTGTCATTCCAGCAACTTAATAGAAAAACCCCTTATTTCCAGTCTATGAGCTTATATTAGCACTAGCAGCTGGAAATAAAACTAACCACAGCTTTGGCATTTTGTCGTGGGCTTCATAAATGATTACATTTTTTAAGCCATTCAGATTTGCAAAGAAAAGCTTTCCAGCCATTTTCTCCTCGTATGTGACCAGCTTAAACTTCTGATGATGCTCTGTGTGGTCGTGCTGCTGAAGTGGGAATCTCTTCTAAACATTAGGTTTTATGATTAGTTATGCGGTAATAACTGAGCTAAAAGAGAATTATATCCCAACGAGGAAATCTGACTTTTAAATTATGTTTTTATTTTTTTTATTTTTCATTGCCTGGCCATTACTGCCTCAACACTAAGAAAATAAATCCTTTTTTAAATCCAGGTGTTTGTTCATTTAAAAAAGAAGCTTACAACCCCTGTTGCCACTGTGTTATTAACCGATCAACCAAATATCCAGTCCACCATTCGGTTCAAACAAATTGTTCTTAAAGACTGTGCCTGAAACATAGATCAGTATAACTGCAGATGATGGAGAAAAAATACAGCAGAACCTCTACTTACATTGCCTAAACATACGAATTATCCAACATCCGAAGCGAAATTCAATCAAATATTCGTCTCGACAAGTAGATTCCCAACATACAACGTCGAAGTCATAGAGAAAAAAATTAATTATAAAAAGTAAATAAAAGGGGGGGAGTGGGATCAAATGGGTCCCCCCACGCCGAAATCCTATTTCTAACACATATGATCATTTTCGCTTTCAGACATTCCTGCTGGCTGAAGAGTACCACCGCGAGTCCATGTTGGTTCAGTGGGAGCAGGTGAAGCAGAGGGTGCTGCACACGCTGCTCGGAGCTGGAGAAGATGCTCTGGACTTCAGCCAAGATGTGGAGGTATGAGACCCCCAACAGGGAGCTGGTCTGGGATGAAAGACATCAGTTCAAATGAGGACAACCAAAGAAATGTGAATTTATTCGGGGGGGGGTTTCAATCAAGACATGCTGTCTCAGGCTGTTTGAGACCTCAGATATCACATTTTGCTGTACTGGAAAGCTGGGATGAATTTTCATGCAGCTGAGTCAGTAAATGTATTACTGAAGTGTAAAATTTTATATGGGTTTGTCTTGATCACAATATTAATGTGTATTTATGTCATGTGACTCACTGCTAGGTCAATTTTCTCTTTGGCATAAAATGGTTTCCTTCCAGAAAATCGTCCCATGATCCTCTGTTTCAAGAACAGTGCAAGACCTTAGATTTTTCATATGTGCACACCCAGATTAAAGGTTTCAGTCTGAGCGAGAGCCAGCCGTCTCCTGACTGATATTTTTAAAAGAAGTAGATAGTCTATCAGATAAGCTGGCCCGTGTTTCAGCTGGTCGCCTAAACTCTCCAGTAAAAAGCATCTTATTTTAATTACTTCAGCAGTGGAGGGCATAAAAAGGATTTATTGAGTCCCTCCAAAAGCGTCCATTTTGTATCACGCTTTATCTCAGCCTTGATATGTCTGCTTAATCTCAAGTCTCTCAAATAGATTTCCTGACACCCTCCTCTTTTAGCTGTCCACCCACTCATCTAAACTAACCAAAATAGTTTCATCTAAGACTCACAGATGCTATTTTTATCCTCACTGTAAATAAAATAAGCCTTTCATCCCGTGTGTCATCCCATGGGAGTCACCCAGCTTGCATTTGGCAAAACCCTGATACTCGCTGGTTGAGGTGACCTTCTACTTGGGCTGGAAAGATACTGAAAATACAAATTATTTAGCGGGGGGAAAGGACACATCAAAGATGCTATTGGCACTGCCGACACAGCTGACGGCTCCTGGAGGCTGCTTGAGGCTTCAAAGTGCCGTTTTCTTGTGCAGACGAGCTGCAAAGTCATCTGTGGGCCCTGTCTGTTTCAGCCCAGCTTTGTGAGCGAGGTGACGGCTCCCGGCCGGAGCGCGCTGGACAGTGTGGAGGTGGCCTACGGACGACAGGTGAGTCAGCACCACTTTAATGACCTTAAGCTCAAAAAGGGTTCATTACGCCGCCTAGCAGTTTTTTAAATATTCTGAATAGTTTAACATTGATTTAGGCTTTGCAGAACCTTGAAATATTGATAAATTAGAACCTCTACATACGATTTGAATTCGTTTCGGTATTTACTTCGTATGTTAAATTATTTGAATGTTGGTTCAAATATATATATATATATATATATAAACATTTTTATTACATTTTTATATTTTATATATTTTTTGTATGACTTCGGCGTATAGAAATTTACTTTGGGTGTCGGGTCGAATATTTGATCGAATTTTACTTCTGATGTTGAGAGATTCTACTGTACTAACAGGTTTTTATTGCAATTTTGTTCAAACCGTTGCAATCTGACATTATCTAGATACGAATGAAAATAATTCTATTAGCTGCAAATTATCCTCGCTGGTTTTTTTTAGGAAGATCAATTGAGCTGAAGCTCACCACCTTTGACCAAATGTTTAATTTAGGGGAAACTGTACAGGAAAAAAAGACTAACATTTGGCCTTTTTATGTATGATGTGATTTTTCTTGTGAGCATTCGCCGTTTCATCTTCTGGATTTTCATTTTTTTTAAATAACTGAATAAAATGCCCCTTCTGTGGGTATAAGTTGGACGCAGTTCGTCTGTAAGGCTGCCATCCCCATTATTCGGGTGAAATGGGGTCAAAACAGCCAGGAAATGGCAGATCAAAGATATTGATTGCTCGGGCTGGAGAGAGCAAACCTCTCTCCACCCCCCACCCTCGCCATCCTGTCTGACCTTCTCTTTTCCACCCTCCTTTGCCTCTGATCTGCCGGATGACTCGGGCTTCCTGTCCGACCATGTGCCGACACATCGCATGCGGCGTCATTTGTCTGATTTTTGTCATTTTCTTTGATGATTTGCTGAACGTTTTGATCCTTTTTGTGCTGTTTTTCATTGTGAATAATTTCACTCGGTGGACATAGGACTCTCACAGAGGATGCAGATAAAGCCCTGAAAACTGGCCATTTGGCAACCTGCCTCGTCAACACAGAAAATGATTAAAAAGTCATTTGACTCTTCTTTACTTCTTTTATCACCTCTGCCTCCTTTTAGATCTACATTTTTAACGAGAAGATAGTGAATGGGCACATTCAGCCGAATCTGGGAGATTTATGTGCTTCGGCGGCAGAAAGCCTCGATGACAAGGTAAGAAAGTTAGCCTCATAAGTGGATTTTTTTCTTTACTCAGAGAGGAAAAACCTGATAAATGGTTTCTAACTAGATTACATTTTTTGGGACAAAGCTCAACATTTATAGGGTCATTTAGAGTAATCACTGTGAATAACTTCCCTGTGCAAACCAGAATTTCCGGAGCTGTTGGCACAATGAGGCTTCAGTGGAGGCATATTTTTGTCCCGGGTTTTCTGTAAATTCCTGAAAAAAAGAAGAAAAGGCTGTATTCTTAGCTGCCTGCCTCAGATAGACACATGTTGCATCATCTTGTTTCTGCTGTGAGATTGCAGCAACTGTGCTGTTGTAGAGATGCACCAATATAACTTGAAAGGAAGGCAAAAGGTTAATTTTTCCCCGCGATCCAATTCCAGACTGGACATTTGAATATCTGCTTATTGAGAATGAAAACGATCTTCTGTTCATGCTCTAAAATGTTAAGTGTTTGGTCCTGGATGAGCTATTTGACCAGCCTGGAATCACCCTCTGGCCCTCAGAACGTGTCGGACATGTGGCTGATGGTGAAACAGATGACAGACGTCTTACTGGTTCCAGCCAAAGACACCCTGAAGAGCCGCACCTCAGTGGAAATGCAAATGGCCTTCGCTCATGCAGGTCTCAAATTCCTAGAAAACAGGTGACTGACCTTTTAAAAAAAAAAAAAAAAAAGTTTTTCCTATAACAATTGTCTGATATGAACCTGAGGTTGTGGGGTTTTACTAATCTGTGTCTCCTCTTTGCCAGCTATAAGAACTACACCATGGTGACCGTCTTTGGGAACCTGCATCAGGCCCAACTCGGAGGTGTGCCTGGAACATACCAACTTGTTCGCAGCTTTCTGAACATCAAACTGCCCGGGCCCCTGCCCGGCATGCAGGTAACACACACTCACACAGTGGCTAAAGATAACATGCTCCACCCACACAGCCAGCAGGTGTGGAGCTGTTTTGGAAACCCCGTAAACCTCTGAAAGTCAGATGGGCACCACAGTGGTCCGTCGCCATAACAGTTTAAATGAAATTTTCCCCTCTTTCTTTTAGAATAAGACTTTAAAGATTGTATTTTCCATCCTAACAAATCGTTCGCTCTATAGTTCCTCCGTTTTCAAATGGGTATTGCAGCTACGGTAGCTGTCATGTATGAAGACGTAATGACAACATGACTTCCACATAATTATTATTATAAATGAAGAAAATGATTTTAGCTGATAGAATACTTAAAATACTACACAATGTCCCTTTAAGTTGGTGTAAATGTGTCATAGGATGCACACAAATGGGCTCCACATGAAATAATCTCTCTCTTTGGGTTGATTTCTATTATATTGATGCAAACATGTATTCACAGAACCCAGAAAAGTAAATGTCAGCGTTAACATTTTTTTTAATACTAATTTAAATGACCCTTTTCTGTAACAAAGTGGGTCACTGACGTCATCATCTTGGACATTTCTTAAGGGCTTTCAGAGGTATGCTGTGGGGATAAAATCCTCCTTTAAATATGAAGAAACTAATTAGTTAACTGTGTGTGTCACAGGATGGTGAAATAGAGGGCCACCCCGTGTGGGCCGTGATCTACTACTGTCTGCGTTGCGGGGATCTCAATGCAGCCATGCAGGTGGTGAACATCGTGCACCATCAGCTGGGGGACTTCAAGACCTGGTTTCAGGAGTACATGAACAGCCCCGACAGACGGTGATTATTTGGTCTCATTTGTGCGCATTGCGACGCCAGTCATGTGTGCTCACTGGTGTATCTTTAAAAAAAAAATTTTTTAATTTTTTTAATGACGTTTTTGCTAGACTGATTCAGAAAACCTTATTACAGTCACGTGAATCAGAAAAACATTTTGTGTGAACTTATGAGCAACTGCCCAGTATTTTTTTAAACAAATAACCATAAAAGCAAGGCAAAAAAAATCAATTTAATGAATTAAAATGAAAAATAACAGTCCAGCAACAATGTAGAAAATGAGCTAGATCTACAACATATAACATAAATCACAAAACAAAAAAAGAGAAAACAAAAACACCCTAGAAAGTCAACCTATTTGCCAATCTTGTTCCTGCATCTAATAAAATATAAGTAGGAGGAGACATCCTTACATTTCCAGCAATTGAGCCGGGAATGGGGCCCACACCTCATTGGATAAGTCTTCCCTCCCAACCACCCAATAGGTGGCCATTGAACTCAAAACCCGTATCCAGTCCTTAAAAGTGGACTGAGTGGTAGATTTCCAGTGGTGTAAAGTCATCCTGCACCCTGTTGTCACAGCTAAACGTCACCAAGATTTATGGTATTTGGACATGTGAATGTTATCTGGAAGTAATCCCAACAGACATAATGCAGGGTTTTTGAACCGGTGTATCCTCCATCCCACCAGCCTGTCCCCGACCTCCGAGAACAAGCTTCGCCTCCACTACCGCAGAGTGCTGAGGAACAGCGCAGACCCGTACAAGAGAGCCGTCTACTGCCTGATCGGAAAATGTGACATCAACGATAACCACGGAGAGGTGGCTGACAAAACCGAGGACTACCTCTGGCTGAAGGTACCCGCTGTTACCGTCTTATGTCCGTTCGGTCATTTTTGGTTACCCCTGGCTGCCTGCATCAAACTCAAGTCCCTGATTCTGGTCTGATTCTGGTGCTTAAGGGGACGGCTCCCATCTACTTGAACCCTCTCAAGAGGCTCATTTCACAGCTCGTCCCTCAAGTCATCAGTGGATTGTGGTCTAGCAGAGCTGAACTATGTTAAAACAATCCAGATTGTTTTCAGGTGTTTTTTCCAAAATGGTTGAACGACCTACCAGCTTTAAAAGTCCAAAAACAGCTTTAAGATGGTGGAACGACCTACCAGGCGCTATAAGAGCAGCAGGTCCCTGTCTGTCTTCAGGAAACTCCTACAGACCCACCTCTTCACAGAGCATCTCCTGTCCTAACTCTTGCCCATTCTCTTCGCAGTCCTTGTTGGGGTTTTTTTGAGTGTTTTTGATAAAGTTTCTGTTGTCCCCGCAGTTGAACCAGGTGTGCTTTGATGATGACGGCAGCAGCTCTCCTCAGGACAGACTCACTCTGCCACAGTTGCAGAAACAGCTGCTGGAAGATTACGGTATGGAACTGCTCAGCCCAGAAAAATAAAAACAGACTTTTGCATTACCCCCCCTTTTGGAACGTGTCCAACGACTAACACACTCGGTTATGTTTCCTCATTTCCTCCACTGCTTTGAATTGTCGGTGGGCTGTAACCATCTGTAGTTGTTCCGAACTTAGTTTTCTCCCAATAAGAGTTCAAACAAAGCAGCTGTGGGTTAAACACCCTTTTCCTGAGCTCCTTTACATCGCTTTCCACTTTTCCAAAAATTATTTAAGAAGAGACCGAATCAGCCTTTTCTCTCCCCATAATGTAATTTTCTCCCTCAGCTACACTGTTACTTTTATATTAACATTGGCAGAAAAACTGGATCGGCCATGTTAGTCCATCTCTTAACAGGGTTAGTTTCTTTATAAAAGGACCTGTCTGCTGTGGAGGTGCTTCTCCTTTGCATCCCGTGCTGTGATATTTATTTTCCTGCACTTGAATTATTCATATTCCCAAACGCCCAGCACATGGTGGGGGTCTACTCACAAATTCCTGAATGCATACAGAAATTATTGTCAAGAATGAAAGAACAATGCTGCGTTTAGACACACCCACAAAAACCTCAGTGTGTCCTAACACACGACGAGAAGGCAAATTCCTAAAAAGACGAGCGAGGAGAGCCAAGCAGCGAGGTGCTAGGAAAGCAAAACTCCGCTGTTAATTCTCATTTCAAACTTTTCTTTGGTTAGCTTTGGTTTGCCTGAATGATGAAACACAGGATGCGCTTGAATAATTGAACGGCTCCGAGGCGAAAAGCTATGAATATTTCAACTTTGTGTCTCAGCATTTGAGTCGCAGGCAGCTTTGGATACTACAGTACCCGTGAACCTCAGCAGCTGTTGCTAAGCACAGCCAGCCGAGCGTGACGCAGAGATTTGTCATCGTGGGCAGGGACAAAAGTTCGGTCGATTAATGGATTTTGCCCGGTTTGTGAATTGATTTTTAAACCCCCACCCGATAAAGAAAGAGCAACAGAAGAGCTTATCTTTTCTGAGTCATGAGAGATTTTTTTTTTCACCCCCTGCCGAAAACGAAATAAGCTGTCTCGCTCTAGACTTCATCGAACACCTTCTGGTAGTGGCTGCAGAGGGAGGTGGGGGGTGAGAGTGGAAACCAGGTCGTACGGAGCACAAATGCCTCCCGGCTGCCTGATCCCACAGAGTTGCATGTCCTTGATATCTCAGAGCAAAGAAGTCACCGAAAATGCACGGAGGGCCCATTTTTAGACATTTATTCAGTTTATGTTTATGCCTTTTATCCAAAGCGACTTACAAAGTAGGGGAGCACCGAGAGCTGAGGGTCTCTTGATCTGCAGTCAAATGCTACCCAGGAAGAGAGGTGGAGGCAGTTGCATAAAAGCTGGACAGTTTTATGGCATCCCATCTCCCCTCAGACTCTGACGCCCACCCCCCCCAACATCGATCCAAAGCAATGTACCCCAAAAGCATTGTGGAGGCAGAAGGCATTCCCGGGCAGAGTTAAATTCAATTATATTTCTATACCTCCAAAGTACAACAGTCATCTCACAGCCCTTTCCAAACAGAGCAGGTCAGACCGGACTCTGAAGTTATTTAGAAGCCCAACAATTCCCACCAAGAGCAGCACTAGGAGACACAGGGAAGGAAAAACTTCCTTTAAGAGGCAGAAACCTCGAGCAGTGCCAGAGATGGGGGGGCAACGGCCTCGGCCGGAGTTGGAGGAAAGAGCAGTTTTCCCCTGAGTTTGGACCTTTTGGTGGGCCTGTGCTGCCTGGTCCAGATAAGGCCGCTCAGTGTCTCGTCCCCCCTCGCTGCTCTGCGGGAAGTCCAGCCCGGAGCCTCCTTCTGTTCCCTCCGCGCCGCTCGGCCGCCTCGGACGTCTGGTTCCTCCCCGTCCTCCATCTTGCTTCCCAGTGTGACATAAAGCCTAAAAACCTATCTTGGGTCCCCTCACATGCTGCCAGCCCCATCCGCTCCTCTTCTCTGTCACTCACTCGCTGCATGCCTGTCCTCTCCTTTTATCTTTCATCCCTCGTTCCCGTCACACGTGCGCGCTGGTCCCTTTTTCCTCCCACAGATTTTTGTCCCCTTTAACGTGCTCCCCTTGCATTTATATTTGTTCTTTGTCATTTCTTGTTGCACACTCTGCTGCAGCCCCCCTCCCCCACCCACACGCTCCTATCGCACCTCCTTCATCCTTTTCTTCTCTTCATTGCTCCCTCTCTCTCCGCCTCTCTCTCTCCCGCTCTCATGCGCTCTCGCTTTTTGAACTAAAATGCTGTAAGTCTGAGATAAGGCTATAAAATGGCTGACATGGTCCACCCTGCTCTACTCCTCAAACTTCCAGCCAACAAGAGGATTAAGAATTGTAATTAAAAAGTAAACTTGATGACTAAGTACCTGCGCTCTCTCACCATTTCTCAGGGAATAAAAGACAACATATTCACACTGAGAGTAAAACTGGGTCTGTAGCTTTCGACGTTGAATAAAATATATATATTCTGCCCTGAATATTATGATGAAAACACCCACACAGGTTGTTTTAATGCTTTCCACTAATTAAAACTGTGTTCAGGTGGTTTAATTAGAAGCACATCCTCTGTCTTCTCGCAGTTCTTTTGCACCTATTCAGGTCAAAATAGTAGAAATTTCTCTTTACTTTTCAGTTTATCGTAAAGTTCTGTCAAATTAATTAAGATTCATCTCAAATGAAACAAGGGTGAGGCTTCCAGGTGATGCTCACAGTTATTTAAGGCCGTTATTGTAATGGCAGTAAATTATTACATGTATATCTGTCCACTGTTTTTGTTTTCAAGTAGAGTGTTAAAATATACTTGCTCGGTTTTGTTTTATTTTATTTTTTATTACCACCAAGAAGTTAGTGAATAGTGAGCATAAAAGGTGCAGCAAAGAAAAGGACATATTTATATAGCAGCTGTTGAATTTACATTTAAAATGTGGTGGAAAGTTGAACATTAAATTAACACTTAAGTTGTCAGTTTGTTCCACTGAAAGCTGGAAATTGTGCCAAAGACACACAGCTGGTTAATCACAGTGACTTACGGCAGATTTCCAGTTTATTTGGAGTTCCCTTTTTCCTAATTAATAGTCAAGCATTCATTCCACAAAGACCAGGTGGGATCATTTAACAGTTTGCTCATGTTTATTTGTTTCATGGTTAATTTTTTAATGAAGAAGCTTGAAGATTTTTAGTAATTAAAAGTTTACAGTTGGTTGAGCAGCGAGGAACAAATAAGAATGCAATGGCACCAAATAGCGCTCAGTCAAATACATTTTTTAAATCCTTTGTTTTGTGGTTTTTAAAGGTCCACAGTGTAGGAACGGTAAAATTGTATTTTGCATTCTAACAAATCGTGCTCTATATAGCCTCATGACAACATGACCTCACATCATCCAGTTTTCTCTGGGGGATGAGGTTTTTAATTAAAAAAATTACAAACTTATGAAGAGAAGTCAGATCATTGTAGAGGTCATTTGACACCAAATGAGGACACATTTATAAATCAAGAAAAAGATTTTAGCCAATAAAATACTTAAAATACTACACAATGTCCCTTTAAGCAGGAATATTTGAAGCTAGACCTCTTCCTGACTTTATTTCCAGGTTTTGGTGGATTTTAGTTTCTTTTCAAACTTCTTGACGGTGTCTTCTTTTCTTCTTCCACAGGCGAGTCCCATTTCTCTGCCAGCCAGCAGCCCTTCCTGTACTTCCAGGTGCTGTTCCTCACGTCCCAGTTCGAGGCGGCGGTGGCCTTCCTGTTCCGCCTGGAGAGGCTCCGCAGCCACGCCGTACACGTGGCGCTGGTCCTGTATGAGCTGCGGCTGCTGCTGAAGTCGTCGGGCCAAAGCGCCCAGCTGCGTGAGTGAGACCCCCCCCCCTCACAGGCTGATCCAGGCTGCAGAGTCCTACAGGCTGAAGTGGAGACAAACTGTCCGTGCTGGTTTTACAGTGAGCCAGGAGCCGGGCGACCCTCCGATGGTCCACCGGCTGAACTTCATACGCCTGCTCATGCTCTACACTCGCAAGTTTGAGTCCACAGACCCCCGGGAAGCTCTTCAGTACTTTTACTTCCTCCGGTTAGTAATCCTGCACTTTAGCTCTCAGAGGCTCCCTTTTGTGCTTTTCCGACTTCTGTGTAGACCAGTGGTTCTTAACCTGTTTTTAGATACCGAACCCACCAGTTTCAGATGTGCATTCACTGAGCCTTCTTTAGTGATAAATGAAATATGATTTTTTTTTTTCAAATTTAAGACATATCTATATGTTATTTTTTACTGGTTCACAAAATGACCTGTGCATGAACATCCCCTTGCTCAAAGAACAAATAACCGTATTACTTTATTCTGGCCCCCGAAAAATATTTTGGCCCATTAAAAGAATTTCAGACCCCCAAAATATTTTTTTTCTATTTTCCTAATGAGAAATAAATTTAGATTAAAAAAAAAAGAATTTAACCTTTTTTATTTTATTTTAGTTTAACTATGTTTTTGTCATTTTGAATCTACAAAATACTTTTTGGGGGCCAGAATAAGAAGTGTTCCTTTAGTTTTGCCGGTGCGAGACTACAGTTGCTCAACTTGGCATGTTTGTATGTCTTCAGTTGAAAAATATACAAAATGATTGTAGTTGTGTTTGTCCTTGATATTCAAGCACGCAGACTCATGACACCATTCATTTATAGTATCGTAATCGCAAATCACAGTATAGTCCACAATAATGGCAATCGCACATTTTCATTAAATCGTGGAGCACTAGTGCTAACCATCACACCTACGTGCCGCCCGCACTGATTGGCCCAGTGGGGCGCGTCATCACCACTTTCCACTGTGTGCCTCCATGGCCGAGGCTCCGCCGAACCCCTGAGACCGCCTCATCAAACCCCTGGGGTTCAGTGGAACCCGGGCTAAGAACCACTGGTGTAGACGTGTTCAGTCAACGCTGATCATTCCTGTAAAGTCTGGGCTGGTAACTCTCTCTCTGCTTCGCTCCACAGCAACGAGAAAGACAGCCAGGGTGAAAACATGTTCATGCGTTGTGTCAGTGAACTTGTTATCGAGAGTCGAGAGGTGAGTGACCCACTTTCACACCGAAGCCCGGAGAAACTGTCCATGTTAGTTAGTCCGAGCCGTGGAGCTCGCTTAATTCAGCTGGATGCATTACCGAGTTCCCAACAGAGAGATGAGGGATTCTCAGATGAGGATGCTCAGTCCTCACGCCAGCAGCCTTTGAGGAGCTTTGGGTCTTTAAAAGGGTCAGAGCTCCACATTAAATGGGCTCCTGTTTTCAAACATAACTCTGCAATTATGAAGACTTTAACTGTGTATACTGCGAAAGCGACACTTTAAAGAGCGTTTGAAGACGCTTTTGGGCCTAAATTAGCTGTAAGACTGAGGAAGTACGTTTTTTTTTGCCCATCAAAGTATGAAATCTTTGGGGTATCTTCATCTGGAGATATCTAACATCACTTAATAATCATACATATCAACCTAAATAAACTGGCTTTACCAGCACGATTGGAAAATTATTCATTTTGCTTCAAGTATTTTGAGAGGATTCTAGGTGTGATAATCCAGATGGATAGATGGTACAGTAGAACCTCTACATACAAATTTAATTCATTCCAGGACCTACTTCGTATGTTCAAATATTCTTATGTTGTTTCAAAGATACAGGACGTTCCTTACTCTAACATTCAGTACGTGAACCTCAAACTAACGTAGCTTATTTATTCATTTTTATATTTTATATATTTTTTCTATGACTTCAAAATTCACTTCAGGTATCGAGTCGAATATTTGATTGAATTTCACTTTGGATGTTGGAAAATTCATATGTTTAGCCAATCGTAAGTAGAGGTTCTGCTGTATGTACAAATAATATTTGTAGTAAGAATGAAGGTGGAGCAGAGCCTGCAGATGGTGCGTGTTACAGAGCAGGTGGAGCCGTTTGTCTGCTGCTCAGTGTGAATTTGATGCTTCCATTCCTGCAGTTTGACATGCTGTTGGGAAGATTGGAGAAGGACGGCAGTCGGAAGGTAAGAAGATCCAGTCTTCCCTTCCCATCCCCCCCCCCTCCGGTCCCCTTATCGCTCTTTGCCGCGTCTTGCATGTTTCTACACAGCCTGTTAAGCGGCGTCGTTCAGCCGTCAGGGATCAAAAACCTCCTCCTAATTCAGCCCTGCTTCCAGAGTTTCCTTACATTTCTCCCACCGCCTGCAGCACTCCGCCGTGTGTGATGTGCGAGGCCTTTTTTTCTCTCATCAGATTCACATGGCTGTGCCTTTCATGCCGCCCACACTCAGAGCCGTGCTGTGAGGCACCTGCACGGCGTCTAATTGAAGCTTTTAGCGTGTTATCTGCTGAGATCTTTAAAAAAAACTGCATGCAGGGTTATTTTAATATGGATCCAGCTTCTCTGCCAGAATCATTATTTTACTTTTTCTTATAATAAATTAGAGCAAAACAACACATTGAAGAATAGGTTGAAAAATTGGGGAAACATAAGAATTATCTTAAAATCCTTTAGTGAGACGACGCAGTTGTGATGAGATTTAAAGCAAACTATCTTTTCTTAGAGATTGGAACAAAATGCTTTATTTTTAGCCTTAAATAGCTTAGCAGCTTTGCTCTTTAAATATCCCCTTAAAAATAACTTGACTAGTATTTAAAAAAAACTTATTTCCCTTTTCTGTTTTATTGTGTCTTTTGCCAGTTGAGGCTAAACGAGGGCGATAATGAGAACACCGGTTAGCTAAAAGATGGAAAATGGCTGATAGCACTCACTCCTATCAGTAGAAGTTAATTTTATGTCAGGAAAAATGTTTTTTCTGCAGCTAAAAGATTAATTTTCTCATTGGAATGAAAAGAAACTTGTTCAAGGGGGACTGAATAACTCTGGGATCTCTTTCATCTCCTCTCCAGCCGGGCGTCATAGATAAATTCGCCGGAGACACCAGAGCGATCATCAGCAAAGTGGCTTTAGAGGCCGAGAACAAAGGCCTGTTTGAGGAGGCCGTCAAGCTCTACGAGCTGGCCAAGGTCAGTGCTCGGCGCCCCGCCCGACGCCCCGCTCCGTGCCCCGCTCCGCCTCACCTCCTCTCTTCCCCTCCTGGTCTCTCCAGAACCCGGACAAAGTGCTGGAGCTGATGAACAGGCTGCTGAGCCCGGTCATCTCCCAGGTCAGCGCTCCTCAGTCCAACAAGGAGAGGCTGAAGAACGCCGCTGTGGCCATAGCTGAGAGGTAGCCGCCCGCCACCCGCTTGCCGCCCCCCGCCCTTACAGCCCCGAGCTGACCACCCCCCTCTGTCCCCCCCAGGTACCGCGCTCAGGGCGTGGCGGGGGACAAGTCAGTGGACAGCACCTTCTACCTGCTGTTGGACCTGATGACCTTCTTCGACGAGTACCACGCCGGCCACATGGACCGAGCCTACGACGTGAGTGGCCCCCTGGGCCCCGAGCCCCACACTAAATGTGCTCCCGCTCTCTGTTTTTAAGCAATTATGAAGACTTAGTCGAAAGGGACGCATTAAAGAGCGTTTGATATGTTTGAAGACGGCTTTGGGCCTAAATTAGCTGTAAGACTGTGGAAGTACGTTTTTGTTTCACCGATCAAAACATGAAATCTTTGGGGAATCTTCATCCGGAAATATCTAACATCACTTAATAATCATAAATATCCACCTAAATAGCCCGTAGGAGTGAGTGTGCGTGGCTATAGATGGATGGATGGATGGATGGGTCAACCTAAATAAACTGTCCAGGCTTTACCAGCACGATTGGAAAATCATTTGTTGTGCTTCAAGTATTTTGAGATAATTCTAGGTGTGATAATCCAGATGGATAGATGGATGTACAGAGGGAGGAGCTCTGTTTGTGTGGAGGACTGACCCGCTGCCTCTGTGCCCCCCCCAGGTGATGGAGCGTCTGAAGCTGCTCCCCCTCCGTCAGGACGGCGTGGAGGAGCGAGTGGCCGCTTTCAGGAACTTCAGCGACGAGGTGCGTTAGCCGCGGAGACGCCGGCAGCTTTGAGTAGACAAACGCTAACAGATGTGGGGGGGCGCGCTCACCGTCTGCTTCCAGGTGCGTCACAACCTGTCTGAAATACTGCTGGCCACCATGAACATCCTGTTCACTCAGTACAAACGCCTGAAGGGGGCGCCAGCCGGCACGCCGGGGCGGCCCCAGAGGACCATGGAGGACAGAGACATGGTGAGGTCTTCATGAGCCACAGACTATCCGAAAAATTGAGCCATGTTAGGTTCCTATTGCTACTCCTCAAATTAATATAAATGTTAATCTTTTGGGGATGAATAAAGTAATCTATCTATTTTTATAGGTACATTTTATATGTTTCCATGGTCTCGCTTTAACTCATTTGAAGCAGCCGCCTGGATGTTCGAGTTTTTGACGACAGCTATCATGTTAAGGATCAGAAAAGAGGAAATAAAAGGATGATTAATGAAGTCTAAAGCCTCCAAATAGTCAATAAGCTTTAGTTGTCAGTGATTTATGTATCATGACACAAATGATTTTTTTTCTTCTGTCAGGCTTTTTGGTCTGTTTTTGTGTTGTTTTAATGCCCTGAAATGAAAACTGCGTTTGTTTGAAAGCCGCCCGCCGCGTCTCCTCCAGCCGCCGTGCGGCGCCGCCCTTTAACCCCGCCCCCCCACTCTTCTGCCCACAGGAGCTGCGCGGCCAGGCCAGAGCCCTGATCACCTTCGCTGGGATGATCCCCTACAACATGGCGGGGGACACCAACGCCCGCCTGGTGCAGATGGAGCTGATGATGAACTGACACACACACACACACTCAGACACACACCGAGCCCTCCAGATGAGGAAGACTGGCTCATTCACTGTCTCATCGTTTTGTTTTTGTTCCGTTTTGTGAGGCTGCCGTGCAAACCGATGTTGTTTCACCCCCCCTGAGTTCCCCTCATCCGTCAGTCTGCTTTGTCCTTTTTGTTGTTTCATATTTGTATCTTTTTATTGATTGGAATAAAAAATAGGTTTACTTTTCAGTTGTCTTTTTGTTTGCTTTGACACATTGAACATCCATCACTTTTTCATTTGACCCGGTGTTTGTTTTGCTGTATTTGATGCTTTAAAACGTCAGACCAACGCTTCTAAAAGCTCCACTTTTATGATTTCACACCCTGCTGGAGCTGCTCAGGTTTGTTGGTCACTTTGGTGGATTCCTTCCACCTTTTAGACGCCGTTACTCATCATCTGCACACCAAAGACCGTGAGTCAGAAGCCCATTTTTCCTTACTCTAAAGACTGGTTGCCCTCATTTTTCTCTACATTTGTGCAAGTTTTGTTGCCTCTGCTGAAGAACACGATATCTGTTTAACTGAAAGTGATGAGACGTGATTAGTGAGATCATTTAGAGAGAAGTTACATAATCTATGCAACCAAAAAAAAACTCAGTTTTTAAGATAAATCTTTATTTGTTGTTTTTTTGTTTTTACTTGTATGTAGGCTTTCAGATCAGAGAGGCTGAAAACGTGGAAGTGTTTCATGTGCCTGCAGGCTGTGGTGACTGAGCAGACGGATGGTTGGACTGGAGGGGAATTTCTGCCTTTGTGTCAGTAGGGGGGGGTTGACGGAGGGGCTGATTTTCCTTTTGGTTTTAACACAAACTTGTTACATTGGATGGAATTTTCCTGTGTGGGAGAACTGGAGGAAGGTTTGACAGCAAAGGTTTAGTACCATAACCCCCCCCCCACTACTTCGATTTTGTGTTAAGTCATCCTGCCCAGAACTCTCTGCCATTGATTGTAGATCTAGTTGATCATTTTAGCTCTCAGAGTGGCACAATCCACCTCATGTGGACGTGCTACAGCAGCCATTTTTGGTGAGTTAGAGGATTACTTTGTCCTCCGTTTAGCAGCACCTCAGCTGAGGTTTAGGAGAAAGCGTCACCCTCTTTGTCCCCTCAGTAACACGCTCTGTCCCTCAGCCTGGCCTCAGAGAACACAGATGGAGGCTCATTCTGTCCGGGCTCCGCCGAGCCAAGTGGCCCCACTTTTTTTTATCCAAGCTTCTTTTTTTCCCTGGGAGCACCATTGTTGTTTGGTACGAGCCGGAATGAGATGGAGGTGTTGTTAGTCAGCATCATGGCCTCACAGAGGGTTCTGGGTTCTAGTCCCTAGTCTGTGTGGTTGGACACTCCAAACTGCCCTTAGGAGCGAGTGTGTGTGGTTGTGTGTCTCTGTGTGGCCCTGTGATGGACTGGGGACCGTCCAGGGTGACCCCGCCTCTCCCCATTGACTACTGGGACCGGCTCCAGTCCCCCCCCGTGACCCCATTAGGGAATAAGCAATTACGAAGATGGATGGATGGATGTAGACGCTGTGGTGTTTGTGTCTCCAGTCGGCCCCCCCCCCCCCAGCAGCAGAGGACGACCTGCCTCAGGTGTGAGTGCCGCAGCTGGTGTTGTGAATCAGGCCGATGACAAACACCTTGAATGAGCCGGCTATTTCACAACACCAGGGTGGTACCGCTCCACTGACGTCGAGATGAGGAGCCCACAGAAGAGATCCCAGCTCCCGACTGCCAGCTGGATGCTTTCTGTGTTTTCTTTCCCTCAGAGCAGCATGTGGACACTCATTTCAGTTGAATACGCACATTTTCTTTTCTTTTCTTTGAATGTCTGCTTTCTCTTTCTCTGAAAACTCATTCTCCATGTTCTAATTTTGCCAATGTGTTAATAAATACTGTCAGCCGGATTTCCTCTGTGGGTGTTTTCTGTTTTCTGGCTTCGAGTTGCAACACCGCACTAAATAAATGCTGGAAAATGTTAAGAAATTTAAAAAGTGAAAGGAAAAAATTAACTAAACATGGTAAAGACAACATGCCACAGTCAGGAAGGTTTTATGTGAGGTTTTATCAACAGATTGCAGGCTAACGGCTTCAGATCTGATTAAATCTACTCAAACCTGCCTTTGAAATCCTGCTCACAGTGTGATGAGATGTGATCAGTTCTGTTTCGGTTCACTAAAAGTTCAGTGGGGTCATGCGCCATCATAATAATAAAACTAGGTATTACCATTTCTCTGTGACTCTTCAGTTAATAAATGTTGTCACCCCCAATCATTTTATTCCCAGAATGTGGAATTATCTCATCTTTGAAGAGGCAAAAGATTTCAAATACCAAGCTAATTCTAGTGTACAGTAACTGGAAACGGTGAAAGCATCACGTGGCTTTGCAGCCCCGAAATACGGTGCCCAGAGGTGGTTTCAATCTATATTACTGCTTTTCAGTATTACAGAGGTTATGTTACCTAATGCATGACGGCCTTCAGTTCTACTCTGCTCAAGATCAAAAGTGTTAGATTGAGTTCAGCTTCCGGGAATTTAAAGATGTCTGTAAGCGATTTAGATCACGGGCTTCAATTTTTTTAGATATGTGTTTCATGAGGATTGTGAGAAATGTAGTTTCTCATTCTGCCAGCTCTCACCTTTTGGGAGATTTTTGACCATCCATTGTCTGCTTTAATGGTCGGCTTTCACTCTGAATGAGCTGCTGCAAAAGCTGCTTCCTCATCGTGTGTTCTGGCTCCAATCAGCCCCATCTGAAGCAGATGGTCTTCACCCAGATAGAGGAAAGAAAAATGGACTCCACCCTCTGGGTGCGAGGAGCTGGCACAGTGAGAATACAGTGACCTACTTCTGATTCCCACAAGACACCAGTTCCCACCCATGGACCAGCCAGAAGAACCCCCCCCCCTCCCCCCTACTCTGACCCGGTGACATTAAAATGTCCCTATTCCTCTCTTCACTCTGGGAATACTGTCTTCTTTTTTTTTTTAAGTAAATCGGTATTCTCAGAGATGGAGCTCTTCAGACATAGTCACCTGTTTTTTGTACTAAAGTGGATTTGTAGGATGGATGATATCTCCTGAGTCACCCCAAAACTCACTTTAAATCGAGCTAGAGTGGATTTTTCAGACGCACTGAAGCACTTTTAGCAGAAAATAGTGACACCTGCTGGCGAATATTGGAATATATAAGATTCCCACAAATGGTTCTCACAGACAATGTGTCATCGGTGACAAAATGGGCAGATTTTTTCTTTAGAATTGGCCTAATTTTGATTTAAATTTTGTTAACAATTCTTTTGAATGTTAATTAGTGAATGAATTAATGAACAATCTTTCAGTTGTCCATAGTAATGACACCAGGAAAATACACACATCAGATAAAATAAATCTTAACAAGACATTGAAAATTAGTGTGTAAATACTCTTTTGTTTTGGTGAACATTTAAACACTAGGGGTGTTCAGTGTGGAATACATTATTATAGCATTATTATTGAGGGCATAATAACCTCTCTTAAACAGTTATTATGTTTTTTCCTACTTTTTGTGGCATATAAAGCACTTTAGATCAGGTCAGCCTAATAAACGAGACACTGACTTGTCAAATGTGGACTGGATTAACCTTCAGGGGACAGAGATATATGGTCATAATAATAATGATAAAAATAATGATAATAATAATACTTGTTATTAAGACAATACCGTTTATAATCTGTTAAATTTATATTCTAGTTATGGAGAACCAATTTACCCAACTTATCCTGATTGTTTTCGTTCTTTTTTTATTCTTTTTATTTTTTCTACAGTATTTATATACTTAAGACCAGAACCAGAACCAGAGAGATCCAGACGTCAACCAATGAAATCTTGTCATCCCACCACATCACCTGGAACGTCCACAAATCAGGAAGTATTTGTTTTTTATTGATCTGGATGTGTTCTCCACTCCATGAAAACAGCTTTCACAAATAACAGATGGATTTGAAAAAGGGGTCTTGGTAACAAAACGATAACCTGGTTCAGATCTGAGTCTGGACCAGGTCCCAAAAAGAAAGGCCTCTTTTCCTAGAGCCAATCAAACGGGACAAACCAGAAGGTGCCTTCAGGTTCAGGCCCCCGGGCCGTGAAAAGGCCCTCAGCTGGAGCTGATTGCAGAGCTGCACGTGCAGAAAAGCACGAGGACACACGAGCGTCCTGTCTGTTTAAAAAGTGCCATTTAAAGTAAAAATTAATCCAAATATTTTGTACGGAAATGAGCATAATGGACGTGAAGGTGGGTATGGGTGGAAGGGCCTGCACACAGAGTTAATGTTTGTTTTTTTGCGCAAATGGAAATCCTTATTTCTCCAATCAGATGGTTCTCGTGCTGCTCCTCGGCTTCACGCGCCCCGGGGCAGCTGGTAAGGAGACAGGGGGCATTCTGTTTGCTCTGGTCTGCTCTGGTTTGCTCATCTCTGCCGTTTTTGCGCAGGACTGTGCAGCGTGGATCGCTGCACTGACCGCAGCAGATGCGTCCTGTCCGCAGACCAGCGGAGCTGCAGGTGCGCCACCGGCTTCTACTCCGATCTGTGCGACAAAAGTAAGCTCCTGCTGTCTTCTCTGATCATTTACAGCTCTTTTATTCGGTCCAAAAATTGGCGTTTAAAGCTACATCTTGATTTGAACTTGGCCAAGAAGTGTTAAAAATACCCAAGTTGTATCCGGATGTTAATTTGATGCTTGTATCCAAATACACATCTGGCCCACTTGGCCTCCCGTAATGAGCATCGTCCTTACAGACACTTTTTCCAGGTGCTCAGGAATTGAATAAAAAAAAATTACATATTTGTGTTTTCTAGAAATCTTGGTGTTTCCTGGTTTGCTCTGCTGATAAATTTGGGTTCCTATACATGTGACAGCTTTGATGGGACAAGGCACGTTTAAGCAAATTGGACCTCATTCAGAGGTTCAAGCGTATGATTGTTCATCAAATTCTTTTTTTAAATGTATTTTTTTTAGATTTGATCCCAGGTAAACCAGAGAATGCAACGTGGATATCTTACTGAAAAATTCTGGGCATATTTTCAATGGGCACATGACACAAAGTGGGTCAACTTGTGAGGCACTTTTTGTATCTGAGGGTCAGACTTTACAAACGTTGGGTCCTGCTGAACCAGCGGTTCACTTCCTGCTTTCCCAGTTTATTGTTTAAGCTCCGGCTCACGGTGAAACCTCGTAAACAGAGTGACTCTTACAAACAAGTTGTTTTGTGGTCTGAAATGGAAGTAAAAATGTGTCCTGGGTCTCAGTTTGAAATGTTTTGGTCTTGTAGGTGCACAGATCCGAGTCATGTGTGGCACTGACCACATGGCCATCAGAGCTACGGAAGACTTTTTCAAGTATCACAAGGTGCCGCTGGAGTCCCTCCATCTACCCAACAAACTGTGTCGCGCTGAGAGAGAGACCATCGGCGGCGTCTCCTTCTACATGTTCAGGGTTTCCAAAGAGAAGTACCTGAGCTGTGGAGGCAAAGCGCTCGCGGTGCGACTCGGCCTCCAACACCTGTGCAGGCACAGAAACCGGCTCCAAACTCACCGTTCTGCTCTGCCCCCCCTCAGAAAAACTCCACCCACTTATCGTATTCGCTGACCGTGCAGTCAGAGGCTCTGGGCACCGGAAACATAATCAGACATTCAGCCATCAAGATGGACTTCACATGCGTTTATCCATACAGGAGAACAGTCAGCCTGCCTTTTCCGGTTTTCCCCGTTTCCAGGTAAGAAAATACTGATCATCCCAAAACAATAATTGCCTCAAAAGACTGATTTTTCGTTCCCAACAGGAACGTGTTTGTTCTGTAGCGTTCTGATCTGGCTTTTCTGTGTTCCCTCCTGTGTGGGCAGTGAGATGGTGATGCAGGTGGATGAGATGGAAGCCACGGTCCAGATGGTTTTGTATTCAGACCACACCTACACGAAGGCCCACACCAGTGCTCCAACCATCGAGCTCAGAGACAAGGTAGGCTGACCCCATGAGGCGCCCTCAGATCGACATTTATTCATCCTCTTTTTGGTTATTTGAAGTTGACACAATTTCAAATCGGCAAAAGGAAAGACGGTGCCACAAAAAAGCAGTCAGAAGCCAAGGCCACTGTTCATTACCATGTGGGAAGCTTGTCTGAATCCGCCTGGAGGCTGGGCAAAGCATTCTCCTTTTTGGAAATCAAAATATGGTCACCCTATGAATATGAGAAAACCTGGAAAACAGTTTGGAGTAAAATGCCATTTCCACTGACTTAGTTTAATAGTAAACTGTTGAAATCTAACCATTTTAAAAATGACTTTCTGACTTGTGAGAATGAAACTACATGAATGAGTCGTACTTCAGAGTCGGGATTCCATCTTGACTTAATTAGCTGAAACTCAAAGATAAAGTTTTAATCAAATGTGCGCGTGATCTTGAGTGCAGGTGTATGTGGAGGTGAGTGTGACGGAGCCTGAGGACTACTTCCTGCTGCGGGTGAACGAGTGCTGGGCCACGCAGACCCAACAGCCCAACTCCACCGAGGGTCTGGTCCACAGCCTGATTCAGCACGGGTGAGGCCGTCTCGATTCCCGTTAGCCCGGCGCCACATTTGTCCAGTGAGCTGTGAGGAGCTCCAACTCACTCCTGCCCCCACCCCACCGCAGCTGTGTGGACGACCACACCGTCTCCTTCCACGGTGAGGAGGACCAGAAGCTGGGACACAACGGGCAGAGCTCCAGCGTCCGCTACAGCTTTGAGATGTTCCGCTTCCTGACGGATCCTCACGAGCTCTACCTGCACTGCAGCGTCCAGCTGTGTGAGCCGGACGACCAGAGGTCCTGCATCCCCGTGAGTCCCCTACCCCAGCATTTTTATCTGCTGTTGGTCAGCCTTAGAGGGACATTGTGTAGTATTGAGTATTTTATTAGCTAAAATCATTGTCTTCATTTCTAAATGTGTCCTCATTTGGTGTAAAATGACTTCTCATAAGCGAAAAAAAAAAAGATCTTGGTAAAATATAACTTTTTTTTATTTTTTCAACTTAACATTTGCTCTTCTTTGTACATGTTATACCTGAACCGTTGTGTTTTCTGAATTTGTTCACAGAACTGTAACTCGGTCAGTAAGAGGGAGGCCGTGAGGGCGGGTCCCGCCCAGGGCCTGCTGTCGTATGGGCCCATCAGGATCCAAATGCCAGACGGACCCAAGTCCAGTGAGCCTCTGCTCCCCGTGTCCTCCCCCCTCCCCCCCACGTCCACACACGAGCAGGTTTGTTTTTAAAGGCTCTCCTGTGTCTGACCTCTTCTGTTTGCAGGCATACTGACAGCGGTGGTGCTGCCGGTGGCTGGAGTCTGGACCTTAGGCTTCTTCCTGTCCATCCTCATCTCCGTGGCCAAGGCGGGCAGCAGGAGGACGGTAAAGAAGGAGGACCCGGCCAATGCAGCCTGGGGGAGCATGACCATACAGCACCAATAAAGGTTTATTCAAACAGAACCCTGTTTGTGCTGTCGTTCCTGCACACATGTCGTCAGGGCATGTTGTTTACACCCTGATGGGGATGATGAGCGGCCCATAAAGAGCACTTGGACGTAAACCTGAGCCTTAAGGGAGGGGGCAGCAGGTCATGCCAGTCCACACGGTCAAACGCAGACAGTTGCCTTTTTTAATGAACTTGATCAGAAAAAAACTCTTCTTGTGTGCTGACAGTTCAGTTTCTGATATGATGGATGTCTATAATGGTCACATGATGCTAAAAAGCCATGGGAAGGGGGGGGGGGTGGTTCACCGACTGACCCCCACTCACCCGTGGATCACATCCAAACGGTGAAGCCATGATGTCCTGTCATGAATATCTGGGGGAATCCACTTTTTGGGGTCCGGTTTGAAACCCATTCTGCGTCCAGCTGCAGTTCCCCTGCTGACCGGCAGAGGGCTGCTGCGCCTCTGGCCCTCGGACGTGGGCCAGCTTCACGGGAGGGGGCACGCCCTCTTTATTGGAAACTGCTTTTTTTTTTTCTTTCTCTTTAAATAATTGACTCTCACCGCGGTTTACGGGGGTCTCTGGCTTGTTTTCGGTACTGTTTCCCATATTTTGAACGGCTCGGGTGGACTTGTTGCTTGAGATCCCCCCCCTCCTCTTCGGTCACTGCGCGCGTTATCTTTCGTGCGTGTTTTTCTGCCGCAACTGAAGAGAGCCGGTCGACTTTTCCTGGCGGATTCCTGAGCTGGGATGCGCGTTGGCAGGGGGAGGCTTGCAGCGGGGTTTGTGCCTGCACTGTGCGGCTGATCAGCCATTGTGGAGAGAGGGGGGGGGGGGGCTCCTCCATCTGCACGCTGCGTCCAGTTTCTGCACGAGAGACACAGTGGAGCGAAAGTTTGGATGAAGCACGAGGCTGCTGTCCCCCTGCCTGCAAACGGGGATGGATTAGAGGTCCCTCAGACCTCCCCTGGCTGGCTGACGCGCGTCAGAGCGCCGGTTGCTGAGTATCTCCGGGCCTCTCGGCTCCACAAAACCATGAGAGCGTTCCTCGCTGGCGGCGGAAGTTTGTGAATAAAAGCAGGAGCAACTGAGAACAAACCCCACAGCGGTTCATCTCCTCGGCTTTGGGTGCATTTACCGCCTCCCCAACTCTCCATCTGCGCTCCGGGAGGAAAATGGCATCCGAGCAAACGTGGACGCAGATCATCATCACCTCAGCTTCTCTGTGGTGCCTGGTGGCCTGCAGCCCTGTGGCGGAGGTGGAGGACGGATTCAATGCTGAGGTTATCTATCTATCTATCTATCTATCTATCTATCTATCTATCTATCTATCTATCTATCTGGCTTGTTGAAACTAAAGAGCAGTCTGATTGCTGTTAACTGTTTGGTTCAGATTGATAAAACTGTGAAAATGCAATTGGAAATAACCAAGGGCTTTGGGATATTTTTAGATGAACTGAAAACTGTCTTTACAGCATTTTTAATAGTTTGATGAAGAGCAATCATATTTCTGATTTTTTTTAAAAACTGTTTGAAATAATAGTCAGAGACTTAAAGAAAAATCTCCAGGCTTTCTCTCTGTTGCTGTGTGCACAGAGGTGTGTGTTCTGTGTGTATACATGAGGGTTTATGGTGCAGCTATGGGACACGGCCCGGACCGTTGTTTTCCACCTCCGCTCTGAGGCTTCTTCTGGGCAGATATTAACTCTTGACAGATTCTTTCCCCCTCAGGAGCCAACGTCCTGCTTGCCCGGCTGCGTTTGAACTTCCCATCGAGTGTAAACTCGATGGGAAGTTCATGCAGCCATGCAGCCTTGTGCGTTTATGTTGTGCACCTCGGACTCACATCTATCAAAAAGAATAGAAAGAAAGCTCCTAGTTTTCCTGTTTCCATCCTCTGCTCCTCATCTTGGCTGTCAGTGCAGGAATGAAAGAGCTGGAATGTCGTAATGTTAATGCAAGCCATCTGTTTTCTGTCTCTTCTTTCTCTTTTGTTTTAACTCCTAAAATGCTCTCCCGTTATGTTAACTGATTTAATCCTGACTGATAGCCCTCATAATTACACAGTGGCACCTGGGACCCACTCTCTTTGTTACAGTTAGGAACACAAATGTATCTCAGACTATGCCTCCCCTTTTTATTTAGAACGACTGGAAACATTTGCGTTACACTGACATGGACTGGAAACCTGTCCAGCCCCTCAACAACCCCGGAATTAAAATGGGAATACTGTCTTTCACTATCAATGCAGAAAGATGGATCATATTGCTGATGTCTCTGCTGTTATTACAGACATTTAAATCCAGAGTTAAATGCAGAAATAGTCCTGGTTTTACTCCTGTTGTGCCAGTTTAATACAAGGGCAAAATGGTCCAAACCAAAAGGGAAAACTGAGTGCAGTTTGGAGCGACCGCTTTTTTAGAAAACTACACAACACAAGCACTGTCAGTAAAAATCTAAATTAACTTTTTACAGTCAGAAAAACTATCAAATACTTTGTTGGACATAATGTTGGAGCTTCCAGTCTGCATTATTAAGGACTCGTAAAAAAAAATCTAATAAAGGCAAGATGCTTGATTGTTTCAACTAGCAGTTTGACTGCATTATGGTTTCTTTATTACGTCATCGTTGCCCATGAGGACTCCTGTTAGTCCTGGCTCAGATGGGTCCCTCAGTCTGACCAGTCCCAGCTTCAGAGGTCCATGAAGCCGTCAAACCCCTGGAAGTTCAGAAGGGAACAGGGCCAGAGAATCAGGAGCTGTGCTCAATAAAGCTAGCAGCGGATTTTTATAGCCGTTTTTATAAATTTGAATATTTCTACCAAGCATCCACTTAAAGTCTGGGAGAAAAGACATAATGTTTGGTGGAAGAAGGCCCAGAGAGCCAGCAGGCCCACATCCAAACATTCGCATTTCAGTCTTCTTTTCATTTAGATTTAAAAAAGTTGAAGGTCTTCCTCAATGTTACATCATTTAGCAAACGATCCCCCCTGCCCCCCCGGAGGAAGACAAATGAATTTGATAGGCACTGCTGGGATGTGAACCCAGGATCTCCTGTTTACTAGACAGACGCTTTGACCATCTAAGCTACAGCGCCTCATGGTGTGAAAGCATCTGTTTTCCAAGACAGAGAGCATGATGAAGGAATTAACTATAGGCAGCTTTTGAGAAAACTTAATGAAAATTGGGCTCTCTCTAGAGACACCCATGTAGACTCCCCCCAGAAAGATTCTGGTTCCTCCAGGGACTCAAACCCAGAAACCTCTGGCTGTGAGGCCATGGTGCTAACCACCACACCACCATGCCCAACCACTCCCATTAGTTCATCAGACATCATTCCCAGAAACTTTTTTTTTTCAAAAAAAAAAAAAAAAAATCGTGAATAAAGTCTTTCCTTTCACGCCAATAAAGAGACCTGTTGCTGGTCTTTAAAAAAAACAACAGTGTCAATATCTAACGTGGAGCAACGAGGTTGATGACAGCTGACTCACTTTGTTCTAATTGGGTGGTTTGTTTTGTCGCCCTGTAGACCCAAACCATCCTATATTCTTATTTGTTCAGCTAAATAAATCTAGCTGCAGGGCTGCACGCTTCAAAGAGTGCTGGAAATGATTGGCAGTCTGAAGAAATATTCCTTTGATCTGCCCCATTTGTCTGCAGTGGAGTGGGGAGAGAAGAATTTAAGCCTGTCTCCAATTCTGCTTCCTATCAGCTGCAAAATGACATGAATTCAAACGCTTTCAAAGCATGGATTTCTGCAGAAAGAAGAACAGGCCTCTCCTTGGACCTTGAAAACATCTCCGCTCTCATCCGAAAGGTTTCTTCAGTTCTCTTCTACAATGTGGGGAATATCGGCCTTTCAAACAAGAGCTGAAACTTCTTCAAGATCCAGATGTCCGTTTAGTTTCTTCAGGCTCTGACCCGAACACCTGAAAATGGAAACTTACACACATGAATTCAAGCTGATTTCAACTTCTGTCTTATTTGCCCTGCAGCTATAGTGTGGATAAACTCTTTTTGAGGCATTATGTTGTTTATTTTTAGTGATATTTAATTGTGTGTGTGTGTTGTGTAGTCTTCACAGATTTATGTTGTTCTTTATCTCTTGTAAAAGACGTCTTTGGTCTCTTAGGTTTTTCCTCTCCCGGTTCAAATGAGTGTGTTGTCCCCATGCAGGCGTGGCTCCGTCAGTTCGGCTACCTGTCCCAGGCCAGCCGGCAGATGTCCACCATGCAGTCGGCTCAGATTCTGTCCAAAGCCATCAGCGACATGCAGCGTTTCTACGGGCTGGAGGTGACTGGCCAGATGGACCCTGGCACCGTGGCGTAAGTCTCACAGCCAGCATCATGTAACATGATGACGCTTTATGATAAAAGTAGACTAGGATTAAATCCATTTGCCTTGTACAGTGTTTGCTGCCTCAGCCAATAAGCTTTATCAACATCGTCTCAGATAACCAAAAATTTTACTTTTTTTGGAATAAAGTGATCATCTCATTGGAGAATTATAGCAATGGGGAGACTTTTTCTGCCATTTTCTTGACATATTTTTATTTTATTAGTATTGCTCATAATTAGCTAAAAGATGTAGCTAAATTTTTTTAAAAGATGGTAAAGAAAAAGTATGTTTGGACTTCATGCTAAGCTATATGCTGGACACGTGTCCACAGCACCAGGGTCTCCATTGGACCTGGGATTGAAAATCAACTAAACATGCTTCCCAAAATGATTAACTGGTTGGATTTCAGATGCAAAAAACTTTATAATAAAGTAAATAAATGTCTAAAATACAGTGTTGAAGACATTTTAACTCTAAAAGAAGGCATGAGTAGCTTTTGTTTTGTGTTTTTCTTATGTTTGCACCAAAAGTTGTTTTCCAGTACATGTGAGGCATTTAGGGAACCTCAGTAAATTGCAGTTTTTCCACATATTAATTCCCGATCTGCAAAGTTATGAAATGTACATATCTCACTTCACACAGTTCGGTTCCTTGTAATTATGACAGTCACCCGAAGTGAGTCAGTAATTATATTGTTGCTGTCATCATAATGAAAAACAGTGCAAAATATTTTGATTTTTTATTTGTTATTGAGTTTTTGTCATTGAGTTTCCCAAAAGCTCCGTATAGTTAATTTATTCATCATTATGGTCACTTCCTTGGAAAACTTATGCTTTTTTTCCCCACATGAGGTGCTGTAGCTTAGATGGTCAAAGCGTCTGTCTAGTAAACAGGAGATCCTGGGTTCAAATCCCAGCAGTGCCTATCAAATTAATCTCTCTTCTTCTGGGGGGGTTGCTAACAGGTAGATCATTTTACTGCAGATGAAGAGGTCCCCAGTCCTACTCTAGGTGCCCTCCTACTTTGTAAATCGCTTTGGATAAAAGCATCTGCTAAATGAATAAACATAGAAGCGCGTCAGCATCATCACCTCACAGCCAGAGGGTTCATGGTTCGAGTCCTGGGGGAACCAGGACCTTTCTGTGTGGAGTCTGCATGTTCTCCCTGTGTCTGGTGGGTTCTCTCTGGGTTCTCTGGCTTCATCCCACCGTCCAAAAACCTGCATGTTAGGTTGATTGGACACTCCAAACTGCCCTTAGGAGTGAGGGTGAGCGTGTGCGGTTGTTGGTCCTTGTGTGTCTCTGTGTGGCCCTGTGATAGACTGGGGACCATCAAGGGTGTACCCCGCCTCTCCCCATTGACTACTGGGATAGGCTCCAGTCCCCCCCGCGACCCCATTAGGGGATAAGCTTTCTATATGTAAATGTATTTAGCAGACGCTTTTATCCAAAGCGACAAGTAGAATATAAACATGCATATCTCCCCCGTAGGGAAATCAAACCCCGGTTTCCAGTGTGACAGGCAGGGACATTCACCACTGCACTAACCGCCACCATAAGCGGTTACCATAATGGGTAGAGGGATGAACGGACAAAACAAAGTGACTTTACTTTTAACCGTGTGTGTGTTGTGTGTGTGGGGCCATGCAGGGCGATGCGGCGGCCTCGCTGCGGGCTCCCCGACAGGAAGCCGGAGGAGCTGACCGGGGGGGCACGGAGGCGGCGCTACGCCCTGACCGGGCAGCAGTGGGACAAAGACCACATCACCTACAGGTCTCCTGCGCAGACGCACGGACTGGAGCCGCCGTGAGGCACAGCGTTCACCACCTGATCGGCGTTTCCTGTTTTCCTGTTCCAGCATCGTGAACAAGCTCCTCCCCTCCTCGCTGGGGGAGGAGCGGACCCACGGCGCCATCCGTAGAGCCTTCGACGTGTGGAGGCGGGTCACGCCGCTGACCTTCCAGGAGCTGCCCGCCCCGAGCAAGGCCAACGGCACCCTCAGCGACATCCTGATGCTGTTCGCCTCCGGTTACCATGGCGATATGTCACTCTTTGACGGCGAGGGCGGCTCGCTGGCCCACGCCTACTACCCCGGAGCGGGGATAGGTGGGGACACGCACTTTGATGCGGACGAGCCGTGGACACTGGACAACGAGAACCCGGAGGGTCAGTGGGTTTGTTTTTCTTTTCTCTGCCATCGTTTGCTTTTTGGGGTTTATTTGTCTTAATCCGTTCACCTTAAAAAAAGGATCTGAGACTGAAATCCTTTGCCAGCTGCAGCTTCACTGGTCTCACAGCGACACAGTCTGAAGTTTAGCTGTGAGATGCCTCCTTTGCTGGGGTAGCTCTTTAAGCCTGGAAAGCTCAGTCAGGCAGCGGGAGGTGAAGTTTTCTAGAAGACGTTTATCCTCTGATCCTCTTCTCCCTGGTCTCACAGGCATCGACCTCTTCCTGGTGGCGGTGCACGAGCTGGGCCACGCTCTGGGTCTGGAGCACTCCGACAACCCCGCCGCCGTGATGGCTCCTTTCTACCAGTGGATTCACATTCAGAACTTCACCCTGCACGAGGACGACATCCGGGGGATCCAGTACGTTTACGGTGAGAGCTCATATCGTTTCGGCCTCCGTCTTTCACAACGCAGTTATTTAGAGTGTCTGCTGACAGAATCTGGGGGAACAGCTGGGGCTGGAGGGCTGTCGTCTTCATTCGACTAAACAAATGGTAAAATCTCCCGTCAACATGTGGAAATGTTTGCCAAGGCTCTTAACTGCCCTCAATGTGCCTCTGCTGTTGGACTGTTTGTCACAGAAAGAGTTCTGGCTTTGCGTAGCTTGAAAAAAGAGGCTCCATTAAGCCACAAACGCTCCACATAAACCTGAAAACCACTGTGATGCCACAATGGCTGCGTTGTAGGATCACAGATCTGATACTGATCTTATTCCGTGTGGACCCAGAGGAGCCGGACCGGTCAGGCTGTGGACGTGACAACCTATGCTAGCTCATTAGCTGCAGAGCTGCCAGCCTGTGCTCATCGGGAGCCAAGTTTTTGTCCAGTACAGCTCATTATCCTCACGTCAAACTGAGCTCGCGCAACTTTCCAGTGATTTTTTTTTTTTTTTTTGGTGTGTCTTGTTTTAAGTTACAAAAGCTTACTGGCACGGCCCAGCATGACTAACATTTCTGCGGGGGTGTTTTTTCCACCTGACCACCCTCCTAAATAACAACGCATTGGCTTTTATTGAATTTGAGTAATGCTAATGAAACAGTTTGGCCTAAAGATCGCCAAACCACCTGCTTGTAGTTGTGTTGTCTCTTAAATCATGCATGAAGCTGCAGCTAGCAGGAAAACAACACAACGGTCTTGTTGCATTTGTTCTCATTATTTTTCGTTTTTTGTTTTTAAGATCTCGTTTTGTGAGTCATGGTTGATATTTCAGATTTATTCAACCATTTAACCAATCGCCGCCGTTTGGAGGATTTGTTTTCCATCCTGCGTATATGCGTCAGCACAACAAAACAAAGCAAACGGAACAGTAAACACAACACTGCGCAGTTTAGACTCTAAAAGCACTCTTAGGTTACAGGGCAATTATAAGTCGTAATTTGATCTGACATCACTCGTACATTTGAATTACATCTGGATCTTTGTTAAACGGAGACAAGGAGACTTAAAAAGAAGCCTTGTGCGCAGAATGCCTCACTGAGGACGACACATCACGCATGCTGTTATCATGCACTCATCTTTTTCGGACTGAATGGGCCGCATTGTCAATGGACGCATGAAATATGTGTGTGTTTGCTGGCTGTCCGGAGAAGCCGTGTGCTCTGTGTATGCTTCCACTTTAAGATTAGTTTCAGCCTTGAAAACATGAGCTCTTAAAGGGGCTCATGTAACCGTTGTTGCATGCTTTCTTTTAATCGCTTCCGTTTTTTTTTGTCCTGTTCACAAGTCCAGCATCAAATAAGAGACCAAAGAGATGTGATTCAGGCTGGGAATGTTTTCTTAGTTTCCACACACTCACCGCTCTGGCTCATCAATCGGCCACGAGGTGCTGTATATAACCGGAGGCGAATGTTTTCATTGGAATGGTGCAGTAGTTTCCTTTATTAAACAGATCTGAAGCAGTCAGATGGAGGAAGTCCATGACGGGGAGAGCCCACGCATCCGATGAGACGGCCTAAAGTCTACAAGCGGAAATAAACATTTAGCTGTAAGGAGTTCTTTATACAAAACTACTACAAAAGAACCCGAAGCTTTGCTGCTTTCTACCGACCGGATCAGTTTTCTTAGCATACCGCTCATTTGATTACCTACTATTAGATTTAAGCATAGCAGTTAAGTCTATGGTTCTGGATCAGGATCGCTTCTGACCTGAAATATTTGCCATCAGAATGCACCGGAACTGCCCCTGGGTTTCTGTCATTTTGGCTGAGTTTTATAAAGCACTTAAAGAAAATGTAGACACTAAACTCAGCATTGGTTATATACAGTCGGCTTATCCACACACAAACTTTGAAAGACACATAAAAATAGGGGCACGATAGGAGTACATTTATGTCTCCCCAGGTACTTTCTAGACTTTTTTTCCCCCTGTATGGCTAATAGCAGGACTCCGAGTCACATATTTGTACTTTTAAAGGGCCTGAAAAGTACACTTCTCAAGCTCAACCACCCCAGGGACGGGTTTTTAGCCCCATAAAGGCACCATTAGGCGTGGGGCCACTTGTGTTATCACACTCCTGTGCTTGGCCTGTTTTTTATTTGAACGGCCGCCTTTACAGCCTCAGACAACAGGCAGATGCAGTAAGCAGCCAAGTGTTCGACTATCTTGAAGCAGTTAGTAGTTCTTGAGAGAAGTTTCGCCCCTATGGAGCTGTTGGAGAACAAACTGAGACATTAGGAGGATTCATGTCAGAAGCGGGGGCCTGGCTTTACTCCTCTGACCCACATGGGACCGGACTTATTGTGGCAGCTGAGATGGAGAGTAGACTGGCTGGACGGTCCACAGTTAACTGGTGCTAACTAGAAAATAAGGATTTCTTCACATACTTGGCCTCAGTCAGGTTTGTGGAATATGCAGACGCATCTGTACCCTCTGATGAAGACTTGTAAGTCACCTTTCCTCCGTCTGAGCATCAAGGTCTCTGGACCCTATCCAGGTTGGATTGAACTGATTAGAGTGAGGTGCATTTCTGATGACTGGATGGTATACTTTCCAGCCTCTGAAGAACAAGGGCTGAGAGCCCAGAGCAGAGCGTGTCCCCGACTTCATGTGGAAACAGTGACACGCTTCACACTTGCCATAATTTCATCCCTTTGTAGGACTCTAAAGAAAACGGTTTGCCTCCTGCAACAATCCCACTTTGTCTGTGTGCAGGGAGGGAAACTCGGCTCTGTCGAGCACCAGATTCCAGCAACGAACCCATTAAGGGAGATAAGAGGCTGCCGAGAGTCCGTCGAACGCCCCCACCGAGTTTGCCTTAAACTCTGATGCATATTTTACCACTAGGATGCTGGGCAGCCACTGGAAAATGGCGTCTGTTGGGGAAAAAAGACGAACAACGCGAGCACTGTTACTGTCCATGAATGAAAACCAAAGTGCAGCAAAATGAAAATCTCCATTCACCGATAGCCGAGTTGGTGGCTGACCGGGATTCATTCCCCTCTGTATTTCTGCCCCAGTGTAACACAATCCACCTTTAAGGCCGTCAGCTGTCCGCACGCGTTACGCAACTGGCTGTATCTGTGTGTTTTCATCTCCTAGCAACCGGCAGGGCAGCAGCACAGCGACAGTCAGTCACACCAGCCCAAAGCCTCCCACAAAATGGAACATTGGCTTGGCTCTGAAAGAGGGGATATTGGGAGGCAAAGCGAGTAGAAAAAGAAGTGCTGAATGCGTGACGTCCCTCTGCCAGCCTGCAGGGATCTTTTTCTCAGAGTGGAGCTGCTTTTCCATGCGGCTCATGGCTGCTCTCTGCTCCTCCATCTTTCCCCCCGCAGGCCCTCCGCTGACCACCGAGGCTTCACCCACGCCGCCGCCCGCCACCGACGCCCCCCCCGCCTCCCCCCCCGCCCCCCCCCCCCTCCGCCCAGACCCCCCGCCCCCGCCCAGGCCCCCCAAGCTGCCAGACAACCAGCCCCCTAACATCTGCGACGGGGAGTTTGACACGGTGACCATGCTGAGGGGGGAGATGTTTGTTTTCAAGGTGAGGATCAAAGCTCCGGCAAAGGAGACGCTTCTTCTTTTGAACCAGAAAAAAACATTTGTGCTCTTTATGCTGCGAGTCAATTCATAAGAATACCTTTTTTTAAATACACATATTTGTATTTGTTATTTGTTACAATTCCTTTGGCGACAGTGTACAATGTAACAAGAATGTAACAAGAATTACACAGCACGTCAACAATTTACATTTTTATATTTTTATAAACCACAACCAACCTTCATAATCCCTGTGCCGGCAAAGATTTACAATAATAAGTATATATATATATATATTTGCATTGATGCCACATTGATGCCTTCGGTGGTCATTTGGATTTCCATTCTAAAAGTATTCTCCTTCCAGCAAAAGCAATAACATTTTTCTCGCTAGAGGCTATCGCAGCATCAACCCCAAATATAGCCATTAAAGGGCCATTAGGTTGTGGATCTAGGCCAAAAGCAACATTCAGAATCCCAAATATTGATTTTCAAAACTCTAAACCTTTTTTTCTTTTATCAGCGTCTCTTTTTTGTTCTTATATTTAGAACATAACAGACAGTTTGACATCTACATACAACAACCCCCCCCACCACCACTTCTACTCTGGATGCTTCCATCAAACAGAAATCCAAATAGAAACGTAACAGACTCCACCATTTATGACCATTACAGGACTTATCCGCAGACACAGGGAGATCAGGCAAACTCCACACAGAAAGGTCCCGGTTCCCCTGGGGACTCCAACCAAGAACCCGAGGACTGAGTAAACATTCTATGAGCAAAAATTTGCTCATTTGTTTGCAGGGAAAGCAAACGCCATAATTTTTTCTTGCCTTTGCAGGGCCGCTGGTTCTGGCGGGTGCGGAGGAACCGCGTGCTGGATAACTACCCCATGCCCATATCTGTCTTCTGGAGCGGCCTCCCCAGCGACATTGACGCAGCCTACGAGCGCCACGATGGCAAATTTGTCTTCTTTAAGGGTACGTCAAGGCGGTTGATGGGCAATAAAGCTTGTTGGTTCCCATGTGGCATGTCAGGGGAGAGCTCCCTACACCCGAACCATTCCTCACGCTTTCCCTCATGTGGAGCCACGGCCGTGCATTTAAGAGCGTGACACAAAACGAGGACGGACACACCAGCCGGTGCTTTGATTTGAGCAGGTCAGACAGCAAGGAAACAGCGCAAGTGCCGCTTTTTTTTTCACCGCACGGCCTGATTTATGAGGAGTGGCCATAACTCCAGACAGCTACAGTCCCCTCATATCAGAAACACACACACTAGAAATGTGTGGTGGGAGAAAAAAAAACTCTCTCCCTTCAGCCAAATGATTCAGGGTTCAGAGATGATGAGGATCTGGCTGCCGGTTAGGTGGCGGTTTTGTGTTTGTGTGTCTTTGCGTCACAACTTTTGTAAGTTTTGGTGTGTTTACGGGGTCACTGGGTGTCATGAGCGAGTGCAGCGTGGCAGCTGTTGTTGGCCCAGTTTTCTCCAGCTGAGCCCCAGAAGGCTTCATGAGGGGGGGAGGGTGGGGGTGGGGGGGGGGGGGGGGGGGGGTTGCATCAGCCTTCTCTGCGCCGCTCCTCTCCAGATGCAAACAGCTGTGCTGCTCAGGCTTTTCCACCGAGGCCTCACGCTGATTCGTCATGCGTTGTCCAGATTTGTGAGGCTTTGATCCCAGATTTCGGCTCATTGAGCCGTGGAGGAGTTTTGATACCTGCTGTTGTGTTTTGTTCATATCCTTGTGAGGTTTAAGAGAGAGCTGAGGTTGTTTTTTTTAAGCATTCTTACACCGAAAAACCAAAGACGATGCAACAGCTTTATTATAAACAAACATTTGATTTCCGGCACTTGGTCAGTGGTGCACATTTGTCAAGTGTCCTATTCGGGTTCTTCTCCACTCTGCCTCTAAAAGGCTTCGGCTGCTCCCATTCCTCTGAAACCAGTGCTCGTATTGTCAGTTTAAACAGTCACATTGGAGCTTTTTGTTGTTGCTTCCATTCCCGGCTCTCTTTTTTTTGCAGTGTCACTTTTAGTATTTATGGATCTTCCTTCTTCCAGTAAAACATTCCTCCTTCAGCTGGCTGCTGCACGCCCACAGCCAGGCCAACATTCATCAATCCACAGCATAAATCAGATAATGGCCCTGGGCACCGAGACGCCACTTGCAGGTCCTCCTGATGCCGCCTTAGTGATCAATGGATCTGAAGATTTACGCCAGTGAGGGAGGGCTTTTGAGCACCGTATCTGAAACGTTTTCTTGGAGCTGGCTCTCTGTTTCCAAAGGGCTCCCATTCAACTTAAGGTGCTTCACTGAGTTTGAGTTTTATGGCGCTTTATGCCTTTTTGCTGCCTTCCAGTTCGACATTACTCAGTAGATGACTGAAAGATAGATATTTCCCCCATCTTGATGTTTGTGTGCATTTTCCGCAGTCTGGGTTTAATCAGTATTATTCTTTCCATTCGTCTGAATCCAACATTCAACCATGTCAACAAATGCCATTTGCAAGGAATCAAAGCAGCAGCATAGCTTTTTAGCAACTGTTTGAGAATATGTTTATCATTAAACAACTTGCTTTTGCTCCATTGCTTTTGCTGTTTGATCCCCCTTTTTCTTTTTGGAGCAGGCAAACTGCTTTAAAGCATGAAGTTGTGGGACATTTTTCATTCAATCACTTGAACAGTTGTGAAATGTCTTAAGTCCACCTGATGGCTCACCTAATAGACCAGATTTTTGTGTCAACTTTAATTTGCCTAACTAGGGAAAACGATGGCTAAAAAATACTCACGTTTTTCAAGTGAAGTCTTTGTTTATTTGTGTTTTTAATTAAAATTGAATCAATGTTTTCTTCACATTTTGACCACAAACAGAGCTGGAAAAAGGGGAAATGTTCCATATAGCAGGTTTAAATATATGATAATCAATAGGTCTGGGAAATCTGTGTTTCAGATATGATACATCTGGAGTTAAGGGGATAAAATCCAGATTTCTGTTGGCGTTGCTGTTGTGTGCATCACCTCTCCAGACTCCATAATCAGCCTTAGGGTATTTTTCATTACTCAAGGGCTTTGATTTGCCTTTCAGTTAATCCCATGAGCACATCTTTTGGAAAATGTTTCCATTCTCCCAGACCTCTACGTGACCTCTACCATTTGTGTTAACCGCTGTTTCTTAATCACATTATGAGCGAGGAAAAAACCCAGATAGCTACTTGGACCAGTGCACGGCCGCTGATTTCCGTCCAAACTTGAAAGAATCTGAGATTTTAACTAAGCAAAATTAGCGTCACCTGATCTTTAATGACTGTGGACAAACCTTTGTGATAACAAGCCGGTCTTACAGACCCACCTCTTCAAAGAGCAGGTTCAAATTGGTTAACCCATTCAGATTCAGACTGCTGACGCAAAACATCAGCATTTTAAAGGCTGCATTACTCATTTACAACCAAAAAATAGCTAGCATTTAATTTGAATCTATAAACACCTTTTTTTTTATATGATGAAGCCCAAATGAGTTAAAAGCCATGTAACTGCTCAAAATTCCTAGTTCCCCTTCTTTGATAGGTTTTATTCATTTGAGAGATGTGTTGAAAAAGATAGTTTCCTCTTCAGCTTTGTACCTGTTGGAGACCTAATGTAACTGAGCTATATTTAGGAAGGATTTCAAGCAGTGGGGACACCGATGTGGCGTCTTTCAGTAGGGACACTATTCTGCAGCTCTCTGGCAGCAAAACTGGAAAGAAAGTGTGTCCACAGGTCAGCTTTAGGGGAGAAATTAGCTTTCACATAACGAAATCTTGGAAAATGTGTATTATGCAGGCCAATTCACCCTGCTGTCCTTTTTTATTTTTCCTCTGAAGTGAGTAAACCCTGTGACACATACATGCGTTCTGGCTATTACTTCCTTTCATCTGGTTTTACTTTTTCCTCATGCTTTTCATCTCTGCTAAATTATTTGCTGTTGTTTTTATCTTCCCTATTTAGCTATACTGGCTTTATTGCATGTTGCACAGTCTTATCACCAGACTTAACTGTCCCTTTGCCTCTACAGATGACAGATTCTGGGTGTTCAGGGAGGCTGATGTGCTGCCAGGGTACCCACAGCCTTTGTACGAGTATGGACGAGGACTTCCTACTCACAAGATCGACACAGCTATCTGGTGGGAGCCCAATGGATCCACATACTTCTTCACAGGAGACAGGTACAATGTGGAAAGATGCAACCAGAGAGGCAGAGAAAAACTTCTTTCACCAATGTGAGTTGGTATTACAGGTTCATAAAAGGGATTTTAAATGACATTGTTTGCAGGTTCTGGAGTTATAACGATAAGACTCGCACGCCAGACACCAACTTCCCCCAGTCAATCAGCAAATGGGGCAGGATCCCTCCCTCCCCCAAGGGAGCCTTCCTCAGTGATGATGGTGGTAAGAAATCATCCAGAACTGGACAGTTTATAGCCCTCTTTTGGACATCGGAGCAGCTTCTGTTTCTGAAAATGGGATGGAATAGACAGAGAAGACAAGGAAGGGAGGTGGGGGTAAATCAAGATTAGATTGGGTAAATTATAAAAACACACTGAAGACGAACCGATGGGGAAGAAGGGCGAGGGGATGACGGGTGGGGGAATATAGTGGAGAGCTATGGTTTGAGGGTTGGCCCGTCTTTGCTTTGGAAATTAGATTAGTGGCAGAGCTGTTCTAAATGCACTCAGTAACAGTCGGATCCCATCTCCACCCGAGCTGCTCTAATGTCTCTGAAAAGCAGCCTGCTTTCCACTCAGGCAGATCTACCTCAGCAGGAATGTGTGTGGTTTTTATTGCATCACATTGCATCACATTGGCATCTCCTTGATTTGTGACTTGATCATTTTATAGCTTCATTTTGACACATTTGTGGTGTAAAGTCTGGCTTTAGTAAAAGTAACTTTGTTTTTTTTTTTAAAAGAATATCCTGCTGAATAACAGCAGGATGTAGGTTTACCAAGTTTTGAAGGAAACATCATTCGATGACTTTGCTACTACTTTAAAAGATAAATTAGCAAATTATTGTTTGGATTACTTGAACAAGAAAGACATGATTTTGGTATAAATCATCCCATAAAACTGCATTTTGCATTGGATTAATTTCTTCCAGTGTCTTCATGTTTCTTATTGTGTGGACTTTCCATCCCAAATGCAATTGGCTCAAAAATAACAAAGAATGAGGTCTTTAATGTGCATATATTTTCATTCACAGTTCATTTTGCTTCTTCCTTGCAGCTTACACCTATTTTTACAAAGGCACCTATTATTGGAGGTATGACAACCACAGAAAAGAAGCAGACAAAGGCTACCCGCGCTCTGTCCTGAAGGACTTCATGGGCTGTGTGGGGGTCCCCGACCCAAAGCCCGACCCGGACCCTGAGCAGAAACCAGAGGAAAAGCCGGTCAACCCTCCGGACAGAGGCCAGGACAGAGACACAAACTCAGAGGAAGGCAAAACCGCCAGACCCGACAGCACAGGGGAGGAGGAGGACAACGAGGTGAACGTGGTCGTAACGGTGGCCGACAACGAATCCAAAGTCATGACTCTGATCATGGTGACCGTTCCGCTGGTGCTCATCCTCTGCATCCTCGTCCTTATCTATGCAATCCTCAGGACTCTGCAGAACAAAGAGACACCGAGGGCCCTGGTGCACTGCAAGCGGTCGCTGCAGGACTGGGTGTGATGCCCAGATTGGAAGTGATAGAGCGGGTATTCTTCATGGGTCCGGTTCAGTCACTGCCAATAAATTTGTACTTCGCGTGTGGGCAAAGGAAGATTTACACAATCCTGGGGTTTCACGATGAGTTACCTCACTGTTTTTGGCCCGGGGCTTCATTGTGAGATTTTTTATTACTCATGTGAAATGCTAAAAAAGTGGTGAAGTCAGCGCGTGTGGGGCCAAAGTTTCCCTCATTCTGCCGTCGAATGTTGCTTCGCCAGAGGTCTTTAGTTTTTTTCTGTGCCTTCCAAATGTCTGAAGTTTTGCCAGATTTTCTTATGAAAACAGTCCTGAAAATTCATTTAAACCCTGTTTTTTTATGTACCAGGCGCAATGAAAATGATCTGGTCCAGACCAGGTCTTAAAATTCATGAACAGTGACATATGACATCTTAGACCATGCCCCTCATTTCCATTCAAAGTCTTAGCCAAAATGTAAAGAACTTGAATTCAACAGCCGGTAAAACCCCCTTTAGCAGCCCGTCGGTGTAGCTGGTTGTGGTTTGTCGACATTTGTTCATGCACAGCTCTGTCCAGTCAGGTTGAGGTCCGGACTTTGTTCGGACAGGCCCATATCATCAGCCCCCCCCCACCATGTTTGCTTTTTCTGTGCGTCCCGACCAAACGTCTCCACTTTGCTCTGCTCTGTCCATCAGCACTTTGTGCCAGGAACAAGGTACTTTCTCCTGCATCCCAGATGTATAAACCACACTTGTCCAGTCTTTTTCTAATCGTACCGCCATGACCTTTGACCTTTAACATGCTCACTGAGGCCTGTAGAGCATTGCACAACCTGCTGGGACACCCTCTCCTGGGTGGGACTGACAGCTGTCCTGAATACTATCTCTCTCTCAGTAGACTTCAAATTCTTTGCAGATTAATGGGACACAACAGATGGCTTCCGTAAGCTAATGGTGCAAAACTTAAGCTCAATTTTTCATTTTACATTTGACAGCGTACATATATGAAAGTGTCAGTTTTTCACCAAAATACACGCCAGTCTATAAGTTGTTCCTCTGAGTTCTTGCTTTTTATTATAACTGTGACTTCGTTAGCACTTAAAGAGCCAGTGCTGAATCCACAAACCAAAGAGAGAGACTTAGGTAGATCCTGAAAAGGAATTTTGTGAACCAAGGTTTGTGGACCACCTTTAAAATGGCAAAAACTGCTTTTATGAAGCTGTTCACACAAACAGATTTCATTGTCTGTTTATGCATCAGCCTCCATTTAGGCCGAGTTTCTGTTAAACAAATGATGAGTTTGTGTGTTATGTTTTTATTTCTTCATTTTTGGTCAAATGTTCCAAATATTAAGACCTGGTTAGACCGTCCCCCCTTTTCATTGGTCAGGATGCACCAAACTAGTCACTGGTAGAGGGTGTACTTAAATTCACACAATGGTTTTTGTCACATTTTAAAAGTGTTATCTTTTAGTGACTTTGAGTGCGCTGTAAACACTTTAAACGGTCCATGTTCTATTAATTCCAATTGGAGAGAGGTGTGATTTGATTTAGTTTTTTTTTAAGCACAAATGCAGAAAAAGTCGCTGGAGCACATACATTCAGAAGCACACAGAGAAAAAGGTGTGCTCCCACTATTAAGAATGACTTCATGTTAGCATGAGGAAGTCCCCCATATGTTTGACGAGGATGCTTCAACCAGTCGGGGCTCTTTTTTTCTGTTTAGAACAGATCATTTGCACTTTTAAGTCTGTTTTTGTGGTCCTCGTATTGCTGCTGTCGCCCCCCTGCAGTGGCGTGTGTGTCTGTGCAAAGCAGAGCTCTCCTCCAGTGAAGCTCCGACTGGTGCAGGAATGTCGGACAGCTGCATGTCCACGGCTGTCCGTCCCCCACTGAGCCCTCTGTGCCCCCCCCCCCCCCCCTCCCCGGTCTCTCGCGTGTGCTTTTGCCGTCACATGATCTCAAAAAGCCCCCATCTGTACTCGTTTGTGCATACATGTCCACATGTGTGACCCGCACACAAACGGCTTACAGACACACAGGCTCCAGCCGCCCCTCCTCCCACCACATCCACGCTAACTGTTCAGACTCCAGCACTAAAAACGCTATCCCAGCGGAGGCATTTTCATCTGTGGCTGGTGCCAGCGCCAAGACGTATTCACCTTTTATTAGAATGAGCCAGAAGAATTGTGGTGTTTTTTTAAAAATCTCCTCTCTGTTACCCTGTGACGAGTGAAGACTTAGCACCAGCATTCGTTCTGAGTCTCCCCTCTTCATATGAAATAAATAGAGTTTAAGCTAATTATGAGTACAAGGGAAAAGGCTGCAGGCTACAGAAGAATGGGGCCAGGTCTGGTTTCCATTAAACCCACATGTTGCTGATTTAGTAGTGTCAGGCCTGAGAGGAGGGAAGGTTTGGGGGAGGAAAAAAAGCAAAAGCATGATAATGAGAATGGTGGTTAGTGTGGAGAAAAGGGCAAATGTGAGAGAATGCGATGAGAAGGAGGTGCAGATTGAGGAGGTGCAGTATTCTGTGGGAAAGGAGGAGCGAGGGAAGGAAGGAAGGAAGGAGAAAGGGAGGATGGGGGGATTTTGAGGAGGGGCAATGCTGGCGTTGTGCCTCCTGACCTTGTTTGGGCCATTGAGTCCATTTCTCCTTTTCAGCTCTAGTTTTCGTGCTCCTTGTTGTCATGAGCTGAAAGGCTTCTCTGCTATTCTTCCTTATATATTTGGTTTCCTACAGATTTCTTCTTTTTTTTGTTTTTTTTCTTGTCTGTTTACTGTACCTCACTGTGTTTCAGTGTCCCAAATGTATCAATTTCCTCCTCCCTCCTGCGGAGAGCCTGCTCAAGCATTTAAAAGATAATGAATGCACAGAAACATCTGCAGGATGTGGTTTATTCTTGACTTATTGTGCATCTTTTTGTAGGGCATTCCACTATCTGTCTGTTTTTACTCTAAAATTGTATCAATATGTTACAGTCGTTTCACGCGATCGCCTTCTATTATTCATAAATAACATTAGAAAAAGTCTTTGAAAGTACTTCTCTTCTCTTTTTTACTCTAATTCTAATTCTAGTTTTGTACATTTAATTTCCGTCGAGGTTTTTAAGGGTGGCAGCAGATGACGGTGAACGTTGTGGAGGCATGCAGGGCATGTTCTGTAAGGCCTGTGCGCTCTTCTGTAGAGTACAGTAAAGGTTTCACAATAAAAAGTCACTGCTAAAAATGCAACACAAGCCTTCCTTGTTTCTGTTATTTTCATTTCCTTTTGTTTTTATTTTTTACCTGCCAACTTGGTTCATGACCTGATTTCATTGATGACCACAAGAGGGGGTTGTTGCCCAAGAATGTTGAAAACCAACATCCAACAAAAAACAAGAATGGAAGATGAATTAAGTTCGTTTGATGAGAAAAACGTCAATTTTGTGAATTTTTCTGGGAAGCAAAGCTACAAAGTAGTCTCTCGTGGTTCCATAGAGAGGTTAATGGCCAATTTCCGTCTTTTTTTTTTTTGTCAAGGGCACCAAGAGCATCAGCAAAGGAGGTCAGAATCAGGCTGCTCTGCTCTTGATTTTGTCCACCTGTCTGTCAGTGAAAAGAACAACCTGAATTCTGCTTTTAAGGACGTTGTTTTTCACCAAATATCAATGAATATATACGAGTGTTATCTTCACTTAAAATGTGTTTTAAACAGCCACTATGAGCCGACTCTGATGATGACGCCTCTTGGTTTTACTGAGCTGCTCCTTAATAATCTCCTTTCTCCTGCTGGTCTTTTTGTCGCCTGTTGTGCCTGGACTACACTGTTTTCTGCATGAGAGTTCTTGTAAACACTTGGGATTCACTCCAGATGTGTTATTCCAACCGACAACAACAAGAAGACATCTGGCCATGGAACTACTCCTCATACAGTTGGCTGGTCACATTTAAATCTGTAAGGGTTAGAATCTCAGATAAACATTTTAGCTATGAACTTTTTATATGAAGACCCTGTCGCATCCACTGTACATATATTTTTGATGGGATTTAGTCATTTTTGCTTCTTAATACGTTTAAGAAGCAAAAATGAAGCTCTGTCTTTGATATGTTTATCTGAAATCTGACATGCTGTGTTGTCTAAAACGCAGTTTGTGCAGCTTGCAGAGGACGTCTTTCCTCTTCCTAGAGTGAGTGAGTGGGAGCACCTTTCCGCTGGTCTTTGTGTCAGAGCTAATCAGGATTAGCCTCCATCACAGATCATCCATGGCAGCTTTTACGTCGGTGCACGCTTTCTCTTTCAACTTCTCCTCCTCTTCCCCTGATTCTCTTCCTCTCCACTCATTCTAGTTGCCTGCATTAAATTTATCTTAGTATTATTTAAAAAAAAAGGAGGTATGAGCAGCTATGGTTAACTTCACAGTTTGGGAGATGGGCTCTGTTCAGTTTCATTCCCTTTTTCCCAAAACTGAACCGGTTGCCAGGTTTTGTCCAGATGTTCATTTAGGATTGAGGCCAGCGTGGTGATGTATTCCAGCCAAGGACCATGGGTCGATGTCACCGACCTGTTCCCTCAGCTTATCCTGTGCTGAGCTGTTAATGGGATCTGCCCACTGTCCTCGTGCCTCATCAGCACCAAAACTACTTCTCAATTCTCAGATACAACAACAGGCCCCGTTGGACCGTGCTGTGATCCTCCTCCTCCTCCTCCAACGTGGCTTTTCCACCCATCTGCGTCATTCTGTCATTCCTGTCCGCCTCCAGTGTCCCACTCCGACTGATAAGATACCTGTTGTTATCGTCTCTTTCCATCCCACTAAACTTCCATTACGGTAGAAATCTGACTTTACCTTAAAGTTCGCAATGTGGCGATGAATAATAAAGACGCCAATTCCTGTTTACCAGTTGGTGGTTAACAAGGGCCGTCCTAATTCCCCACTAATCGCTCTCTGGCATCGTGCCACGCCTTCTCTGAACTCCGTCATTGTTTTCCAACCTCTAACTAGTGGCTTTATCATCCAGTTGC